GTCTGTAGCACACAGCCCCAAGCTTATTCATTCCTACAAAAACTTATCTTTAAAAATGGTCACTTGTTTACTAAAACAGCTGGGCACTGTAGTTTTTAGTAAACATCAGTCAAACGGGAGGAATGGTGTTTTCAGACACAGATGAACCCACATGTGGTGCTCTTTAAAGTATCTATGACTGCAGAAAGATGTATGTGGGACTGCCTCAAAATAAACTACAGGCCTTGTTGAAACAGCTATGTCATTCATCATTTAGTAGCCTTTATGGTTAGTTATTTGCAGGTATGAAATGCACCTGGTAAAGTGACAGCTCACCCCCAAATCAAAAATGCATACTGTATTTTTCCTTTTACCTTTAGTGCTATTTATCAGTGTAGATTGTTTGGTGCGAGTTGTCGAGTGTTGGAGATATTGGCCGTAGTTTCACGTAGGGACTTTTTACCAAACTACAGCTGCCAATTGTGCATCTGCTCATGATGAGAGGCTTGTGCTCTAGGCTTGAGCTAACACTAGATCCACGCTTCCTTCTGTGTGGTGATACGGTTGATTTTGGGGTGAACTGTCTCTTTAAATAACAATACAGATTTATACTGTTGAGTGAGAGAAGTGTTAATAGTGTCTGATCTTATAATGGTTTGTCTTGTTTTCTTGTTGTCCACAGAAACGCCCACAGAGTGAAGCCATACCCACCTCCAAATTGTACATTATTTGTGAATATGCTAGTGAATGGAAAGAGAAGAGAGACTTGGGACTTGTCCAGCCTGAAAGGAAGAGATGATGGAGTCTGGAGAATAAGAGTGTGACAGTGTGTGAGTGTTTTTAGGTGTTAGATTGTCATGAATGGAGCCTGTGTGGATGCATTTATACATTTGTGTGCATGTGGTTGTGATGTGAGTGTGTGTGTGTGTGTGTGTGTATGACTGCTGTTAAGGTAGTGTCCTCCAGACTTTTATTTTCCTTCCTCCAGACTCCTGGTCACCAATAGGCACCATAGCATCTTTGTTATTCACTGTATTGCCTTTATAATCACTAGAAGAAATAATCAAGTATTTATGTTTGTAATTACACCTGACTTTAAGCAAAATATTTTGTTATATTTTCTATCTGTGGTATTTATTTGTAGCTAGAGGTCATATCATTTTTATTTTTTTGTCATTGCCCGCCCATACAGTCTACTTTCTGCCCTCGTGGTTCTTTGAGTTCAAACAAAAGATATGTGCTGTCAAAGGCTTTTTTTTTCTTTTCATAGCAAGCTTTAACCCAATTATTGAAATGTTTGATGAAATTCCTGTGCTGGTATCCTGCTGGAGAAAGACATATGCTGCCCATATGCTTTACAGAAACATAAGCTCAAATGTTTTTCATTTTAAAGATTTTTGGGGGGGCGTTATTGCCTTTCCTAGATATCACAGTGGAGATTGACAGATAAAATAAAGAAGGGGGACTGACATGTAACAAAGGTCTCTGACCGACTCAAACTGGTCCACCAGGACACACCAGCTCAAACGTTTCTGAAACATCGTCTACTCTCAAGTCACCTTTCACCTTACCTACCTTGAGATTTGATTGTACAGTTCATAAGCTATTTTGTTTTTGTTAAATTTTGATTCGTGAAGCAATCAACTTAAAAATCAATAATGAAGTTCTGAATTCATGTAAATGTACCAAATTTGATTAAATGTAGCCCCTGTTCATATAAAAAAAAAGTGCTTTTTAAAACAAACGAGAATAAAATTTGTATACAATCCAAGGTTTTGATTTTGTCGGCTTTCGCGCTCAGGTTTTGATGCTGTGGTTAATAATCAGACAAGATCTGCTCTTGCGTGGGTCATTAAAGGAATACTTCAACAACAACAAAAAAAATGTATATCAAGTTTTCACTGCGTTACCTTTTATTTGTGTAGCAAACTGTTTTTCTCGCATGCCTCTGGTGAACGTAGAATCCAAAAACTGAGAAGATTCGTGATGAATTGATTGAGCAATTCCAACGGGGAACTGAACCGAAAGGGGAACTTATCTATGCTCTCTTTCCAAGCCAGACTCCATTGACAAAAACAGTCATTTTACCACCCTGAACATGAGAGCAGCCGATGGTTTATTTGTGTAATTGTGAGACTTTGGTGAATCCAAACTAACCCTTTAAAACACCAAAGTCACACAATTAAAAATTGATTTTAAATGCTCAGAAAAGTTTGTGGCCTTCTCAGAAGCTCGCTCACAGTTGCTTGACTATTTTAGCATCTTCACTTCTGATAGTAAATCCATTTGGCAAGTGTCCTCATACAAGTACTTGGGTATACAGTATGGATAGATGACAAGCTTTCGTTTAATGTACATATTGCTGCTCTAGTGAGGAACCTTAAAGTGAAGATTGGTTTTTATTTTAGAAGTCTTGTTTTACTTTCAGTGCTCAGGAAAAAAACTTGTTGAAGCTACTTTTCTGTCTGTGATTGAGTACATTGACATATTGTATATGCATGCAACCTCCTCCATTTTACGAAGCCTTGATTCAGTCTACCATGCATCTCTACGTTTTATTACAAATGCATTCTTTATGATTTGCAGGGTTGGACGTCATTGGCCATTCCCAGACAACAGCACTGGTGCATTTTTATCTATAGAGCAATACTAGGCAAACCTCTGGCCAACCTCTGCTCCGTTCTGTTCGTCAGCTCTGGTAGTTACCTGCTATGCTCCTCCAAGTGGTTGCTCTTTAATGTACCCTGGGTTTTAACAGATACTGTGCACCATGGACATGTAACAATCTTCAAAAAGAAAAAAAATTAGAAACGCTTACATCCATTGATGAATCTAAGGGCATCATAAAGAATGTGGTGACAGAGATGTGTGCTTGTTTTTCTTCAGAGGCCACTATGTTTGAACAGTTGTTGTTTTATTGTGGATTTTTGTGTTATATGTTGTATATGTTGCATGTTAAATGTGTCCTGATTGGCTGCTACCTTGGCCTGGAGATTTTCGACTGCAATGGGACTTCCTGGTTTAATAAAGGTTAAATAAGAAATAAATAATAACACTAACTGATCAAGGCAGTGGTGGACCAGCAACTCCTGTGTTCTGTGAGGTAAAATTACTGTTCTTGTCGAGTTGTGTGAGAGATTGGAGACAGAGGTTTTGACAGTTTTGCTATTGCCGAATGCAGACCTTCATTGCCTTTTTTTGGATTCTCCGTTCAAAGTGAAGGCGTGCAAAAAAAATAATGTTTTCTTCATGAATTCAAGATAACACATTATGAGTAACTGATATATACATAGTTATTTTGCAGGCATAGGTTACTTTTGTTAGAGTTACTGGCTTCTGTATTTTGCTACCACACTTCTGTCTTCTGTTTGAGCTTGTGCAATTCTACTGTGTATAACTGTAGGATAGAAATACCTTCACCCTTGTTACTTTTCAGTACAATACAATCTCTGCGGATGCAGCACAGCACAGTACATATATCTGCTCTTCTAGCAGAGGAGCTGCAGTTTATGAAAGCTGTGTTGCTCCATTTCCTTTGAAAGGCTAGTTAAGTCTGGAGATAATTTCCTGTCAGCAGCGAGCTGTATTACAACCCTGCTGCTTCAGAGGGCCCTCTGCTTTGATAACTGACTCTGTGACCTCTGGCAGGCTTCTGTGTTGGAGACAGAAAGCATGTACATGTGTGTATCACTTTGTACACACTCTCTACATCTCCTGGTTTGGATGTGCGCGGTACTTTATGTGTTTGTGTAAATGCTCACAGCAGATACAGGTTACCGAAGCAGCGGCTGGGAAAGAGTTAGAGGCTGTTAAAGTTTAATGTTTGTTTTCTGCACACGTCAGTTGTCAAGCCACTCAGCTACTGTGGCCTCTGGCAACTGCAGCTTAGGCCTTTAACTGAGGCCTTCAAATCCCAACTACAAATCATCGCTGGGATTAGAGGAGATCAAAGAGGGCTAAACTGTAACTGCATCTGGGTAATCGGTTTGACCTTATGTTAAAGATGAGAAATTAGAGTGTGTGTTGGCAATTTAATGGAGCCTGCCAAATGACGGTACTCTCTCTGTAACTGCTCCAAGTGTGCTGCATCTGACCCTGCATCAGTGTTTGTGTTTTATGTATGTGTGGTTTCTGCATTCTTTCATCAATATAAGGAGGTGTGTATGGAGAACTGGTGCTGTCAGTAATTCATAGTTAAAGGTAAAATTTGAGACAGAAGTTGTGGAACTTCACAAATTCAACCCTCCCTCTGATCTCTGAGCATTTACGTTAGTATTTACCCCTCCAGTCTAAACAGAAAACTTTGTTCCCGTAGTGACAGTCAGCCAGCGATGCAGGGGACCTGGCCGCAGCACACTACCCACAGCAGTCTCCGTGGCAACTGCATGCATGGCTGAAGAGTGATATTGCGTCTCCACACCGCGATGAGCAGAAAGAGTGAAAAGAGAAAGGAGGGAGAGGGGGATCTTGGTTTCATGGTTTGCAGGGGGAGCTAGCATTACATGAGAGTGAGTCGGAGTGATGACATTGTTCCTCAGTAGCAGCTGAGTGCACCTATACATCCACCTCTGTGGAGGAAGGGCTATTCATTCGTCTGAGCCACCAACAGGTGGACAAAGGGGACAAACAGGCAGGTAGATAAAACCCTATCCAGTGCAGAGTCAGCTCTGCTGTTGACACTTTGATGTGTATTATACGGCTCGGGTTTCCTGGTTGTTTCAGAGGAAATTAGGGATTGATTCTGGATCATACGGGGCTCTGGGTTTCACTGTGAGGCAGGGCACGGCTGAGGATGGATCCTGGAGGAACATTAATATGATAACTGTAGAAAAACCATCAAGATGAACATGGAGTGAGGTGCTCCTCTAACAAATGAATTTTCAAATATGCAGCTGACCTCAGTTTTGGCTAAACGGGGGAACAACCTGCCAGCCAGCTTCTTTTTGCTATGACTGACATGCTGTATGAATGTCTCAGTAGTACTGCTACCATTAAAGGATTCCTGAAGAATTCAATTCTACAAAGAGTCAAATGGAGAAGAAATACCCTGTAATAGCAGGAAGAGAAAAGGGTAAGTTTGTCAATACATTATGTAAACCCATACATCATTACCTATGTTTCAGCTGGTAAATTTCAAAGGGGAAACATTGACTTGAGCAGAGCAGAGGGTTTCTCAGAGTGCAGACCTGCCAGGACTCGCTCCTCTCTGTGAAAAATGCTTTCACTTGCTCTGCTTGTGCACATGCCACTGAACATTTGTACGCTGATGTAACACCTCTGTGTCTTCATGTGTGCTGCATCAAGCTCGCTTTTTTTTGACCCAATGCACATGATAGAGGACAATCAGATGAAAGCTAGAGGCTAATTGGCTGTTAGAAGGTGCAACGACGCAGGTCTAATGCAGATCATTCTTGCCTCTCACACTGGAGTTTATCAGATGGTGATAAGTAGTCACAGTTATGCAAAATTCTATAATTTTTGCAAACGTGTGGACATTGCATTCTAATGAGTCACTGACTGGTGCTGAAACATACTAACCTTACTTACTACTCCTTTATACACACACCGATTTTATTTCATTTGTCCCATAAAGCACTTTGTAACTGTGTTTTGAAAAGTGCCATACAAATAAAGATTATTATTATTATTAATATTACTGCATATTTTGCTATATCAGTATGTGTGGGTCATTCTTCTTTGTGACATTTCCCCACGTCTCTAGGGCCAGGGCCTGGGCGCTATGGGCTTCCTCCCACAATCGGATTCATGGGCCACGACTTCACCAAGCCAACGAGCCCTGCCTATTCTTTCCACGGCAGGATGAGTGACACCAGTGAGCTCTTTATCTCCTCAACCTTTAGATTATCCTTTAGCTGCACAGCGGCGGAGGAAACTTTGACGCTATCTCTGTCAGACCTTTGTTGTCAGAACCACAAGTCTTATCAAGAATACACAAACATTACATTTTTATAAACAACAGTATTGTGTTCATCTTGTCAGAGTGATATAATCTCCTCAAACAGGAGCTAAGTCAGAGTGGTACACGTCCTAAGTGGTGTAATGCCAAATTAAAGCCAGTAGGGGGAAACAATGCCTCACTTTATGTTCATCAAGCCAGTTTAAGGACCACTGCATGATTAAACTATACTGACAGAGGAGACATTATATTAAATTGATCATAAATGTTTACTTTCCCTGCAGTGTATTGTGTAGACTCAAGTCCAGGGCCGCAGTATCACATTGATGCAAAGATCACTCGCTTTGGAAGGGATGGCACACCTGCATACTCAATGTTGGGCAGAGTGAAAGCACAGAGTAAGTTCCTCTTCTGAATAAGAAAATGACGGTTATTTTGAGTGCACATTTTTTTCAGGTTATGTCGTTATGACTCATTTTGTGAAAGGGTGAACGCTTGTACATGAACATTTGTTTTCGACACTACTTCCAGAGATCCAGTGTCAGCTGTTGTAACTGAAAATCTGAACCCCACTCAGTAAACACTACCATATGGTGTTGAGCTGATGGTTTGTATTATTCAACGGTTTTCTGTTCACTAGAGGAGCTCTTCCAGACACCTGGACCTGGTGCATACAGCCCTGAGAAGACCCCACCATGCAACCTCCAGCGCAGACCCCCGTCCTACACAATGGGTGCCCGTACGCACTACCGAAGCGTGGACGCAGTACCTGCTCCTAACAAGTACTGTCTCCCTCCGCTAATGGGCCCTCAAGTCCCGAACAAGCAAGCCAGCGCAAGCTACACAATGTCAGGTAGTTTCAGCACAGGGGGACCTTCTGTGGATTTAGCCAAGACGCCAGGGCCTTGCAGGTACAACAGTACGGACCCGAGTGTTTATCTACCCAGACAGCCGGCGTATTCCATGCTGGGACGCCACAGCTTACCCAGAGATGCCACAGAGAAACCCGGGCCTGGAACTTACAATCCAGAGAAAGTGACAGTTCACAAGGCTCGGGCACCAGCCTACTCCCTGGGTGTCAGACACTCTGAATTTGTTACCCCACTTGTTGTCAATGTTTCTGACTGAACATCATTGCACTCTCACACTTATTCTGTAATCTGGTAGAAAAAACAACATATGAGCAAACATGAAGAAGTACATTTAATCTTGTTCTTTCAACAACAAAGAACGTGTTGAATCATCCATGACTCACTGTTGACATTTATAATATCTAGAAATAATATTATATACACACAACACAAACATAAGTTTAAGAACAGGAAAAACACAAAGTTTTTGGGGAAAATAGTGAGCTGAAGAAAAATAAAACCCTATGCCTGTCCGATACTCAGCAAGTAAATCAATCATAACAAAATGGCATCAAAAGACTTTTAAAAAAATGTCTTAAAATGTACAATCGACAGGCAAGCTCCGCCTTCATATTGTTTATAAGGTTATCCTTCACAGTGAAAACAAAGTGTTTGCCTCCCATTGCCTCTAAAAATTGAGGGAGTTTGAAAGGACAAAAGAAAAGATGCAACTAAGGGTTTTCTAACAATACATTAGAGCATATGAAGAGATGTATGTAGGAGAGATGTATGGTTCTTATCAGCAAAGATGATAGAAGATGATTTACAGGTGGTTTCCATTTAATCCTTTGGGAGAGGTCTTCTGAAAAGCAGTATGTGTGGCTCTAGAGAGTAAAGCAAAGAAGAAGTATCCGTCAGCTTCATCTACTGTACCATACAGTACAGTGGTTACACCATACAGTGTACTAACTTGCATAAGGTTGTGATCCATGTGCATATAACTTTCACTGGTAATGGTACATGCTAGGAGCCGTTAAAGCAGTGATACTCAACTTGCAGCCCGTGGGCCATATTTTGCCCACAATGGGGTGCCATGTGGCCTGCTGACCATCTTCTAATTTACAATAAAGTCTAAACTAAATTAACACTGGGATTGTTTTTGTCCTTTGAATGTAAATAAGGTGCCCCTCTCAGAGGTCTGGTCTAATTATTAATATATGAATTACTAAAGTTTGTTATTAACCGGCCCCTGGACTCCTCGCATTTTGCACATGTGGCCCCTGGGCAAAGCAAATTAAGTATCTCTGTTGTAATGGATAGGCTCAGATATTTTCCATGACTACCTTAGTACAAAAATACAGATGTACAAACAAGAATTACTGGTCACCATAATAATTTCACTCTTCATACTGGCCATCAATAGATCCTTTTGTCGCTGACTACTATGTAAGAGATTGCAGGCAAAATACACAGTCCTCCTGTGCAAAAATGCACTCTACAGCTGGGCTAAAGCTAAAACGAGGCTTCAGCTGTTTGAGATAGACAAAACAATGAGGTATTTTCCAGCTGCAGTTGCATTTCCCTGCAGCGTATCCTCGCTGAGCTGCAGAAGTGCAGACTTTTGCTCTAAAAATACTGTCACGTTGGAAATACCCATTTGATTAGACCAATTCAGACTGGTGAGACCGTAAAACTATACATTAGCTTTGCTTAAGCATTATGATGCTTTTTTGCACAGATGGAGAATTGTAGATTTTGTCCCTCATCTCTTGTAGATAGACACCCAGTAACAAAGAATCTCTGCAAAACCAGTATGGACAAAAACATATGAAAATGATCAATAGCTCTTTCACTGTTACATGAGTGTTGTCTATTAAGTCCATGGGTTCTCACCTGGTTTGTGGATCATGTAGTGAATCCAGCCCTGGCTCTGCTGCACCCCAAGACCCCTCCACTCGTCTTCTGTCATCAGGTGGGAGGAGGGCACCAGTTTGGACAGCTGCTTTGGAAGCACCACATGCCTATGGGAAGATAATTAAAACAGTCAATAATGACCCACTACAAGACAATTTCAGTTTAGCGATTTTAGTAAAGTTTAGTTTGCTAGCTAACGTTGACGCTCGGCCTAACTAATAATAACGTTAGTGTATTTTGTTTGTTTGTTTTAACATGGCAGCGACGTTACGCCCCCAGTTCAAACCAAAGTGATTTTAACATTGTCGACACCGTTAACGTACAGTAACAGTTAGCTAGCATTAGCTGTTCCGTTGATTGGGGTTGTTCTGTTGCAGTTTTGTTAGCTAATTACCAAGTTTAACATAACGCTAAGCTAAGTTACACACGCTATACTATGTTTTACAGAATCACCCGCTACAAAATGCAAATGCCAGCATACGTTATCGACATTTTGAGCCGTCTAAAATTAGCTAACTGAAACAAGCTTAACATAATTTGACTAACGTTCAACACAGAACAGTTAACGGACTTTTGAAAACGGTAGCTTGTTAATGTTAGCAAATACCGAATAGTTCATCGTACCTGTACTCGAACTCCTCATCGGTGTACTTGTCAGAATAGTAAATCTGTTTTTTCGACATGATAGCAAATGATGTCAAAGTTTTAGTCCTGAAAGCTGTTTACGGGTGTTGTTGTGAAGTTAGCTCACTAAGTTACGAGCAGTGTTTGTGAGCGAAACGAGCTGCTGCTGTCATCTGCCGCTGTTTTCAGGGGATGATTCAAACCCCAACGGTTCCCCGCATGCTTCTGATTGGTCCAGGCAGCAGCACGTGGACGTCTCTTCCAGTTAGATCGTCTATATTGGAGAAGATGAACCACTCGGCCGTGAAAACATAACTCTTCAACATGGAAGCACGGTTTGCAACAGTTGGTGTATTTCCACATTAATTATTACCATAACATACACTTTAACTGTTACCGTCAGTGTCGGTGTTGTGCTATATTCAAGTTTAAATAAGCATTAGGCGTTTGAAGGGAAGATATGCGATGTATTTGAAAATGTTCCTTAATCTTTGCCAGGATTTTTCTGAAAGTGGAAACGGCCTCAATAGGAGCTCTTCTCTTTTTCATAACCTCTGCTACGTTGCTACTCTGCCTGCCCTCTTTCCCGGGGTGCTGGAGCTCGACAACATGCTCGACAGACAGTAGGTGGAGGCGTAGGCTACATGTTCACAGAGGTGAGGCGCAAACGGTACTAGGTGGTGTTGAATTCAACTCCTGATACTGAAAATGTGCCAATATCGACAAACCTGTAGTATGCATATTTCTGCTAAAAGAAAAGAAGTATTGCAGACTGTGGGCATACACATCTGAAACAGAATTAGGGACTGTTCGTTAGTAATGAGAGGGGAGGGGGTGGTACAAAAAATAGCCTGGCAGGACCATTCTGATTATGGGAAATGATGTGAACACCCTGGACGCAGACTGGCCAATCATAACGTAGCATCACGCCGACTCAGACCAGGGTTCGACACCAAAACCGCTGTGCTCCATTGACTTTAATGCAATCGTTTCAGATTTCCTAAATTTTCAGGCTGGTTTTGTGGATTTGGAGCTAAATGTTGTGCCTGGGGCACATCGTGTATTAATGATACTCGTTACCTGGAAAGGTTGGAAAAAGATATACGTTTCTTCCCTGTTCCAAAACCAAAATCAAACCCTGAAAAGTGTAGGTTTAGCTAGCTAGCTACTGAAGATATAGCCTACTGAATGTATACACATGCTGCTTTTGCTTTTTAATGATTATAACAGTGAAACAAAGACCAACACTGCTGTACAGGATCCAGTGAAGAGAAGCAAGGAAACTTTGCTGATATTCAACCAGCTGTGTGTCATCGCATTGTGCGTAGATGAACGTTGTTGGACATCCCCGAAGATCCATGCCCGCCCTGCTGCAGAGGTCTGGGTGCTGGCAGCGACATGGGGGCAAACGCAGTTCATCTGCACACACTGTGATGCCACACAGCTGGTTCAATATCAGCAAAGTTTCCCTTTATATTCATCATCTTCTGTGGTGATCAGCAGTGATGTGGTGGTTCACTTTTACACTGTGATCTGTAGCCTATAGTTCGGCTTTAGCTTCTAACTATCTTTGTCTTTTTAACCTGTTGTTGCTGCTGAGTCAGTTTGACATCCTGGATATATCCTTCAAACACAGACTGTAGACCCCTCTGTCTGCTTCTCTCTGGAATCACTATTTCATTTTTCCAAAAATATCATAATATTTCTTAAGGGAGTTCAGTTAGTTACAGTGTGGGCTCCATGCTTACTCCAACATCTTGTTGGACCGTCACAAAGGGGCGGGGCTTTGCGAAAGGTCAATTGTCTATACTGTGACATATAACATATTGTTTCTTGAAGATGTTTCACCTCTTCTCCAAGAATCCTCTTCAGCTTTAACTGACTGCGGGGAGTTGCAGGCCTCTATATATGACATACATAGATACATAACATACATGAGACATATAACATACGCGTCAGCAGCGCTTTTTAAACAATATCAATGGCAAAACATAACAAAATAATATTCGATTGAATGAAATAATATTTCATTTGCTGTATCTGTTATATGGCGGCCAATCTTGTCCCCTGCTCAGAGCATAAGGAGCTCCTGGACCTCATCAATTTCCCAATGTGCTGACATTTTCAGTTGCTATTTTACTTCATTGAGTTAGCTACTAACTGCTAACAGCCACTTTTTAAATCTCCTGCAGTGGGTCACACACATAACACGTCTTCAAAACATCACGCACATGTCGCCTGTGATCCTGTCCTGTCGGCTGTCCCGTTTATACAGACATTAGCCGTTTTCTACATAGAGATCATGCTATAGGGCTGCTACCAAGTCCCTTCTTTAAACAACCTCAATATTTTACACAGAGCCAAACAACGGTGGCATCATTCCACTCCAGCGTGTGATTTTAGACAACATCCCGTCATCAAAGAATCAAAAGGGGCCCGCGGTCATGATTGTACTTTTTCATGCAGAATGGAGAGGTGGCATAACAGCATGACATTTCTGCCTTGAAGAGGCAGAGTGAAAGGGGCCATTGTTTAGTTAACAGCAGCAACATGATGCTTTGACATAAGCAAAGATGAAAGGCCTCACATTTTACCCAAGAGACTAACTGTTACTCTTATTTAATACGAGTTACATAATTTTTATGTCAACAGTATCAGTACTAATCAAAATAAAGACTTGATCCAAAAATCTACTGTTGTGCCTAAACATTAGTGTTTTAGTTGTACACATACAAGGCCAGGAAGAAAGTGGTCTATAAATGTTCTACATGATTTAAAGGTCATGACTTTCTGGTGAGAGTGGTGCTGTTACAACCCTCCTGTTATTACAACCACACCTGGTTTAACCTTTATAAATGTACCATTTACTTTAAGAAATTGTAATAGTTCAGGATATTTTTCCAACTAATACTTTGTTGTCTTTATGTTGCCTGTCGAATTGTTGATTTTAAGTCTAAGTGATTACACTCATGGAGTAACATGGTGCATATGATAATTATATGTACTACATAAACATCATGCTGATTTACCATTGGCTCTGAAGAGACCAGGATTGTAACAGCAAAGACTGTCCATCCATCCGTTTTCGTAACCGCTTATCCTCTTGAGGGTCTCTAGGAGGCTGGAGCCTATCCCAGCTGACATTGGGCGAGAGGCGGGGTACACCCTGGACAGGTCACCAGACTATCACAGGGCTGACACATAGAGACAGACAACCATTCACACTCACATTCACACCTACAGACAATGTAGAGTCACCAATTAACCTGCATGTCTTTGGACTGTGGGAGGAAGCTGGAGTACCCAGAGAAAACCCACGCTGACACAGGGAGAACATGCAAACTCCGAACAGAAGGGCGGATTCCTGCTGTGAGGCGACAGTGCCAACCACTACACCACCGTGCCGCCCAATTGTGATATATAATAACCATAATTACGTCTTGGAGCAGGTCTTAGTGAAATAATATATTTTTTAAGTTGTTGGCTGATTTGAGGCAAAGAAAGTAATGAAACCAATGTTATAATTTAAGTTATCTTACAATTATTTTTTGCAATGTATTTAGTTATACTTTTTTTTTAGGTAGTCTAAAGTGGTATTTCTATCTTTAGGATTTCAAGTTTTGATCCAATCCAGGGACTGAAGTTGAATTCATCTTGTCATTTAATATATTCTAAACTCGATTGCTTTAGAAGCAAGTCACTCTCTTATTTCTATGTGACATATTTACACTGACTTATTCGTTTTTATAGTTTACTTTAGTTGATTTATAAGAGGACAGTGTGCAGTGACGCTAATCATTTACAAGAAATGAAAATATGCTAAAATGCTAATTTCCATCTGTAGTCCCACACATAACAGGTAGACGCAATAAAAAAAATAGTAGTTTGAATAAAATGTGTATAAATATTCTTTATATTTCAATAATTACTGTTGTGACATCAGCCCACAAAGAGTAATGCATCAGTCACCTGTTATACTTTCTCTGGAGGCCTTACATGAATATCTCACTTCTCTCAGTCAATGATTTGTAAGTACACGAAAAATGAACTCTCTCTTCACATTTTAACCAAACAAAGTAGTTTGGGGGATTCTGTTGTTGCAAGTAACCTATGTGGTTGTTCTTAGTTGTAATCACTGTTGTCAAGGTAATGGCTGCTAATGAGTGGTGGTGTATTCACAGCGTGGTTTGTTCCACTTGTATATGCAAACTACCAAAGTCAGGAGGTAAATGTGTTAACTCTTCGCGCACAGAATATCACAGTATAGTTGAGTGGTTGAAACTGAAGTGTAACATCAGATGCAAGTAAGTAATATATTGCTATTTATAGAAATGAAACCTAGTGCCATCTATTTGTTTAAAATAATTTGATTCAATCTGGCAATGCCTCCATATCCGTTTTAGTTTAGTCTACAGTATGTTGCCAGAGCAGTTATTAGGTTGTTTTTTTTTTGACAGAAAAAGGTACAGAGCGCTCTGAGGAAGGTCAGTTACATGTGCATCTGTCAACATGCATTGATTTCACCTGGTTTATCAGTAACTTTTTATACTCTGTACAAACAAACATGAGGTGACTGGCTGTATGGAGGCAGGTGGGGTGTTGGTGGTGTCACAGCGCTTCTGATGGTGGTTTGTTTGTGAGAAGGGGTTTCTGGTAATGAGGTCTCCTGATGAGTGAAATGAAATTGTTCTCTTATTCAACCATAGCTGCAGCTCGTTCGTGCTATTCGAAGCATTCACTTTGCTTTCCTCTAAAAGAAGTAATTGGAAGTTCATCAGGCTGGATCTCTTCATCCTGTTTCTCCTCAGTGCTTGACACATAGGTAAGCCTGCTGATGCCTTTCTAAATAACTTTAAGTTTGCAAATGTTCTATCAATAGCATTCAGGGTCATGTATTGTGATGAATGTAGCTTGTTTCCGACATTGTTTACGGTGTTGCCCGTCAGTCAGATTTCATTGGACAGACGACATGATTACAGGACTCAACAAATCTTAATGACTTGCTTGATTGAATTTAAGTAATTGACAGGAACATAACGAGCCTTTCCTTGTGTGTAGGTGGCGTTCTTTAGTCAGTAAATTGCCCCTGTTTTTGCGTAACAGATGACCCTGACTATATTGGGATTTCACAACCAGTGCAGACGTTGCTCCCACCTGTGTGCATGATGATCACACAAAGAAAAACAAATGTGACCCACTTCGTGTCACCCTGAAAACCCCAACTGCTACTTTATACAATCATACAATGGTGATTGAAATGGCGAGTTCAGAAAATGGCGTAAATGATTTGACTGTGAGCAAGGATAAGGCATGAGGCAGGGTGCAAGTGAAAGCTAAAAGGATCGTGCTGAGATGGCTGATGGCTCTCTGGGGAGGCGGATGGGAGGGGAGTAAGAAAGAGAATTCAGACAGATGGGATAGGGTGGATGTTTTCAGACATGTAGTCCCTTATGAGTGTGGCTGCATTGCTTCCTTTGTTTTTGTATAATGCTAGGACAAATGGAATTAAACTTTCAACCCCCACACACACACACATCGACTCACGCAAAATACACTTTACCTAATTGGACGAGACTTGTGCCGGTAGTGTTTACTCACATTCCCAATCAATTTTTTAGTTGATATTTTTCTTTTGTATTTCAACACAGCCCGGTCACTGGGTGTTGCTACAGAACGTGGTGCATTTAGAGCTTTCTTTTCATTAATAACACTCCTTTATTGAGATTGATATGCTTATTACAAATTAGCAAAATATACTGACGGATGAAATATGAAATGCAGCGGCAGATGAAAAATACAAAATACAATCATTTATGAAAACAATTCAAAATACAATGACAATAGAAACACTCACCTCAGCAACATAAAAAGAGCAAGTAGACATTCCTATGTTTCGGGCTGCTGGAGGTGCCTCGGGCATGTCCCACTGGTAGGAGGCTCTGGGGCAGACCCAGAACACGCTGGAGGGATTACATATCTCATCTGGCCTGAGAACGCCTTGGGGTCCTCCAGGAGGAGCTGGAAAGCATTGCCGGGGAGAGGGATGTCTGGGGTGCTTTGCTCAGCCTGCTGCCCCCGCGACCCGGCCTCGGATAAGCGGATGAAAACGGATGGATGGATGGATGGATGGATATTCCTATGTAGAGATGTTATACCTTTTTGTTCCTCTTCCTAAACCCTACCAATTCTGATATCTAAACATGCGTATCAACCATTCAGAGTACCGATCCGAAAGCAGCGAAATCCCATGTCTTAAATGGCTGATGTGTTGGTGATCCAATTTTGTTGGTTGTCTTTGTCATTTTTGGGCCGTCTTAGAGGAATTTTTCGCAGTTTCCATGTTCGCTGCCGCAGTTTGTCCTGTTTTTTCTCCTTTGATTTGTTTAACTTGTTGTGATCTTTCATGTTAAGCATCTTTAAATCCTGTAGAAGATTGCTGGTGTTGCAATCGGCCACTCTAGTGCCACCCCTCAAAACTATAGCTGCTTTACACATTACCTTTTTACTGGTGGGACTCAAGTTGCTGACATTCTGTTCATGGCTAACATGACGTTATTTACCAGGGATCAATTCTTCTGTGCTTTTAAAACAGTGTTTACCAGTGGCTGCACAATCCTACTTGCTGTGTAGACTACTGTTCTAGGTCGGCAAAGAAGAATTGCTCCAGGAAAGCTGCAGTTTTATACAGTGGTGCAGGGATGACGTTGTTTTGTTGGCTGATATGGACATTAACATCGCCTGTGGGATTTTCCCATGGGATTTTGGATAATTGCAGAATATAAGATCTTTATCAAATGGTTCTGATACTAACATTTTTGTTCATCAAGATAATTGTCACAAATGAACTTAATTTTTATGGTTTCTGAAGCTTAAATGCAATTGCCAGAGGTAAAAAGCTAACGTTAGGCTATAAACAAAGTACACCACTGTTGTATGACATGAGTGTGACTGTGCTCAGTGTAATAATGCTTTGTGGTCTCATTTAGAGGCCTTTTAAAGCAAAGGCTATAAAGTTGATAAATGGGTATTTACTGACGTATTTGATGTCGTAGGACAAAACTTGAAAGTCTCTAAAGCTTCTTTTAATCACAGACTATATTTGAGGCATCTAACCAAACCGTAAAAAAAAACCCATTGACTTTTAGATGATGGAACTTGGTTTCCTGCACCACTCTATCTGGGTCTGAAACTGCTTTAAAGTTTATTGATAAATTATGTGGTAGTTGATCGGTACATTGACTCGCAAACTCGCCGATGAGCGATCCAGCATTTTAGGTAGTTTTGGAGGCATTTCCGATTCTCGATTCTGTATCGGAACAACTCTGTTCCTTTGTCTTTTTGAATTTATTATTTAGCATCTAGAGCTGGGGTGCCAAACATGCAGCCCGGGGGCCAGAACCAACCCACCACAGGGTCTAATCCAGCCCACTGGAAGACATCACAGGCTGTTTGTCATCTGTTTTTTAAGTGGATTAGCATTTTTAAAATGTACTTCTTTGAACAAAAAATGGGAAGAAATTGGAGGTGTTTGTTTTTTAAAGGATAATATGCAATGGTTTTACTGGTCCGGCCCACCTACAATCAAATTGGACTGTACTTGGCCCATGTATTAAAATGACGTTGACACCCCTGATCTAGAGAGATAGACTTTGCTTTGAATACCCTTCACTTCACAGTGTTACTTTTCTCTGCATTGGCAGCATTGTTCATTTTGAGAGGTTTGAAATATTGCTGCTAACCCTGCCCAAAGATAATGCACACTGCCACAGGTTATTAATTTCCAGAATCAAAACAAACAAGAAAAAAGGTGCTCTCTACAGCGTGAATGAGTGTGTGTGTGTGTGTGTGTGTGTGTGTGTGTGTGTGTGAGGTTGCCTGTGGTTCAGGCAGATGTGTTTTAGCTAATACAGTCTGAGAGCAGCTGGGCAGGGCAGGGCTAATAGACCCAATGACATCATCCAGAGAGAGGGAGAGAGAGACTGGGAGCATACGAGCGAGCTTGCCTAAGGCAGTGAAAGGAAGCAGGCCAGCTCAGACAGTGGCATGAGAGCGGGACAGTGTGTGTGCGTGAGCGGGAGAGGACCAGACAACGTTCAGTTGACAAGGATATAGGACTCCACCTGGAAGATTCTCTCTCTAGTTTTCTCCTCTTCTTCCATTACACCTCTCCCCCCTCCCCTTCCCCCCTTTCCCCTTCCCTCCCCCCTCATCCTCTGGCAGTTATCCCCCCTCTCAGCTCCTGCTCCAGGCGGCTCCTCCGGGCATGCTCCTTAAGCCAAAGTATGGCCGCTTCCGCAACGAATCTGTGACCTCCTCCGACGACCTGATGCAGAGCTTAGCCATGAGTGGCAAAGTTGTGGCCACACCGGTGGTCTCGTCCTCCGCCACGAGCCTTCCTGTGCCTCCCCTGCCTCCTCTGGATCACGGTGCCAGATCGTCCTCCTCTGCTGGGGCTGCAGCCCTGGCCGACTCCCCTTGCCTGGATGGGGAACAGGATGCCACCACAACCTTCTGCATGCTCATCCCCAAGATGCCCCAATGGAAGTTCTCCAACTCCCTGCTCAGCCGGAGCCCGTCCAACTCCAGCTCCAGCTCCAACTCTAGCAAGGACTCAGGGAAGGCAGCAGCAGCTCCTTCCCAGGCCTCTGCCTCACATACCACATCCTCACACAGGCACAGTGTTGCGACCTCAGCCAGTGGCCCTGTGGCCAGTCTCGCAGCGGTGCTTAACTCCTGTGACCCTGTGTGTGTCACCCCCTGTTCCTTGCAGGCCATCCGAGGGCAGAGAGCAGTTGCAGCGGCAAACTCGACCAGTCCAGGGGGCCACGTATTTGGGGCCACAGAGGCCATGGCGAGCCCTGGGGGTTCTAGCAGCTCCAGGTCAGGAATGAACCGCAGGACAAGGGTGGAGGGCATGTGGCTGGGGGGAGAGGACTTCACCCAGAAGGGAAGCTTCATCCACAAACCCTCTCAAGGCTGGCTGCACCCTGACAAGAAGATTGCAGGACCAGGGGCCTCTTATATTGTCAGGGTGAGTCAGTTGGCACCTTTCTTTTAATGCATACTGTTTAACCATTGTAAAGTTACACCTCTGCAACATCCACTTAATTCAGGGTTTGTTTTGAAAGTGAACTTTTCTTTCTTTGCTGCCCACATATTAATTAACTGCTCACAGGAATCAGTGAACCACAAAATATTAACAACCCCATTTAAAGGTTTCTCTATCTGGGTGGGAACAAAAGGACACCACAGTGCCAGGCAGTTTGTTATGCAGCTCATGTGGCGAGGGCTGGGGAATACATAATCCAGATAGATAGCTTGGTGTGGCTGGAAGAGAGACTGCGTCAGGATAGCACACAGGCGTCAGGGTGGAGAAAGATAAACCTTTAAATTATGTGCACAGACTATAGTAAGGATCATTATTTTACCGCAGTGTTTACCAAAGGTTGTATGCATCATGTACTGCTACTCAAAACAATAACCATCTGTATTTATAGTGCATGTAACCTACTGTATGTCTGAGTGTGAGCTCAGAACTGTGAGCCTGTGGGAGTGGTGTTCTTTGTGTGTGGTTTCGGGATTGTTTACATTCATGTGTGCGAGGAGACCATAAGATTGTATCCATAAAATGTGATTTACAATCCCCGAGCATAGAGAGTACCAGTCTTTATCGTCGATAGCATCATTAGAGCATGCTTGGGTGATGTTTTTAAAAAGACAAACTCTTAAAAAAGGGGAATACCTTAAGAAATGGATGTCCCACCAGAAAATATGATATGAGAATGATTGTAAATAAGAAGGTAGAGATAAGAGGAGATATCTTTATCAGTGTGTATTTTGTGTTTACAAAGGGTTACCATCCCAAGCAGACTGCTTGACGTCAATGTCAATGATCTCCCCCTCAGCGATCCCCCACGCCTGTTCACCTCCGCTCCTCTTGCACTGCTCTTCCCCCGTCTCCTCAAACTAATGACATGACTCTTGATTAGCCCAGTCTGGGGCTCAAGCACGCTTTCTAATGGCATTATACAGGCACCATTCATTCCTATATTCAATTATGTTTAATCACAGTCATTTGCATCATGTGATGTGGATGTGGACAGTTGGATCACTATGGGAGGGGTCCAGTGTTGAGTTTGCATGAGCTCTCATCACCATGCACCGCTTTCCTAGATTCATAACAAGTACTGCTCTAATGTGTGATTGATATCTCAGCTAATTATCAGACCAAGCCTTTAGCAGCTTATCATTGCCAACTGAAGCAATAATTCCAGATGACCCGTGTAAGCTTATGTTTAAGATGCATTTCACGGCAGCTAAAGCAGCACGATACTGTGCAATTCGGTGGTAAATCTATGCAGGGAGGAGCACTTGCTGCATGTATTAGTGTCAAAGTGACAGTAGATTTCTGCTGCACTGTGCCATTTTTAATCGGCATAGCTACCATAGCGCACAGCTCCCTCTTCCCCTATTTCTGTTTCAGTGCCTCTTTCTCCCTCTCGCTCACACACACACACACACACACACACAGTCACTCCTCTGCCGGGAAAGATACAAATATGATTCTTAGTATTGCTTTCCTCCCTAACACTTTGTCTATGTCCATGTCAGGCTCTGTGCCTGGCCTGCATCTGCCATCTTTGACAGCCAGGACGCTGCAGCAGCAAGCATCAAACAAAGCACTGCAGCTGCCAAAAGCAGCTATCATTTAGAGAGCTATATAAAAACCAGACTGCTATCATTTCATGTTGCTCCCTCACAATCTGGCGCACGGTAGTTAACAGTCAAATTATAAATATCTTTAATGTGATGTTTCGTGGCTATCGATGCAGATTCCAGATTGGACTTTCCATGGTGCAACGAGTACATTCTGTGGTTGGATGCTCTAAAAGCTGCTGTGAGCAGTGCGCAAAAGTATGAAATTAGAAGGAACTTTATTGTCCGCAACATAAAAATTTGACTTTGGCAACATGAATTACAAACAAGACAGGACTGTGTGCACTGAACTAAAATAAAACCCTAATCAATCACCATCTACACTGTCCAGATACTGTTTGGTAACATCCAGCTGTCCGCAGTATCTGTCCATCCATTGTTACACAACATAAGATGCCTCTCGATCTTGCTTTGCCTTAGTGGTAAAATGAGTAGCTATTGCGTAATGAACTGGGGCATTAGAACACTGTTTACATTAATAAACTATGAAACAGCCTTGATTTATCTCAAAGATGATGCCACAAAGTTTGGAACAGGTATGCCAGTGTTATTAAATGTCCGAGGAATACTTCTTGGAACACTTCTTCAGTGTCCCTGCAGGAATAGTGCGTTGGAGACTTGGCCAAAAGGAAGGGAGTGCAGATAGGGTGATAGAAGAGGGGATGCGTTTCATCAGCAGATGACTGTGTGACAATGGAGGCATTGGCAGGGAGAGGGGAAGAAAAAAGAGAGACAATTTTCCTGATGGAAGACTTCCCCTTGTCTCCAAATCTGGTTAGAAAGCTCATTAAGCACTCAGGCTCAAGGGTCTCTCTCTCTCTCTCTCTCTCTCTCTCTCTCTCTCTCTCTGTCTCTCTGTCTCCCTCTCTGTGTTTGTTTGTGTGGCTGTCGTGTGGTCTGTCCGCTGTCTGTTGCAGTCACTAACAATCCTGGACACTGCACTAAATAAATATGGCATTAACTGAGCCAAAGCGCTGCTGGCCAGAATGTAAAATATGTAGCACCCAAGCAGTCTTACAGAGACTTTATAAATCACACAAGCTCATATATTTATGAGGAGTTTTAGATCATGAAGTATGAGATGTAAATGGAAACTATAATGGAAACCCTATTTTCCCATGCTTTTGTGTCTAAGTGACAAATTGGGACAACAATTTTTGAAACTGGTGCTGCAGCCAGCAGCCACTCAACAGGCTGCAGTGTGACATGAATGGGCACCATCAGAATACATCCACTAAAGCTGCTTGTTTTTGCCATTGACAGGCTCAGATTGTTATTATAAGTGTCTGACAACATTATGGAAATGATCCCTACAGAGACAGACCTTTTTGTTAAAGAGTAAGATCCTTTTTGTTTAACCAGAAACAGCCCCAAAATCTCTGTCGCCAAACCCACCAGACTCCGTTTAAATAAACAGTCATTGTATCATCGTAAAAAAAAACACTACATTCAGAATTGACAGAGACAAAATAAAACCGACAAAAAACATCTAGATTTGTTTTTCCACTGTTTCAACAATCACTAACTCTGGTTGGCTAGAATAAAACCATACTTCACCTAATAAGATGGGAAAAGGTGGTGGCTTTATAAATGCCAAAATGACCAATTATTTAATTGGAGTCTGGTGAGTTTGGTGATGGCAATTTAAGGGATGTTTCTTGTTAAACAAAAAGATTATCCCTATAGGGATCCTTTCCCCAAATTGTCAGACACTAAGAAGAAGAATCTGAGCATAAGAGGCAAAAAGTACGGTTGAGCCGAATACTCAGATTAAACGAGTATCCGTTACAGATAATGTACTTTTTACAAGTATGAGTATCATAACAGTAAAATATGTCAAAATTATGTGGGTAGCTGTGTTTAATCTATTACTCTTGTGCTAAAACATTATCTGAAGCTCAATCCTGAGGCTGCTCTTTAAATACTTCACTCATAAGTATTAAATATTGCAACTTCTGAACAGTCCATATACATTTCAGGCTTAGAATAATAACTTCTGATCAGGTCCAACCCACTTTCGATTAAAACTCCACCCACTTCTGGCATAAACTACACCCATTCCGAGTACAGATACAAATAATGTAGTTGGTTCAACAGATACAGACACAGATACGGATAACATAGTTGGTTAAACAGATACAGACACAGATACAGATAATTTAGTTGGTTAAACAGATACAGACACAGATACAGATAATTTAGTTGGTTAAACAGATACAGATAACATAGTTGGTTAAACAGATACAGATACAGATAACATAGTTGGTTAAACAGATACAGACACATATACAGATAATTTAGTAGGTTGAACAGATACAGATAATTTTGTTGGTTGAACAGATACAGACACAGATACAGATAATTTAGTTGGTTAAACAGATACAGACACAGATACAGATAATTTAGTCAGCTGAACAGATACAGATAATTTAGTTGGTTGAACAGATACAGACACAGATACAGATAATGGTGTACTTGCTCATTCCTAGCAAGACCAAACATTTTCAGTGGACGTACATCAAAGGTGCACAAATGCCCCAGTAGATTACGCTGCAGACTATTTTGCCACTGTCAGTTGCAGCCGTCTCCTAAGTACTGGACCACTTTCAAAAATTGTTGTTCTCCTTTCTCACTTAGACACAAAAACACATGAAAACAAGGTCCAGAAAAATGAAATGCAAGTAACCATTTAAGAAGAATTCTTGCATGTGAAGTCTTGAAACAGATAAAACACAGAAGAGGTCACTAATGCTTCCTTTCACAAACAGTGGTAAGAATAACAGTGATATTTGTTGCTGATATCTTTATTAGTTTATAGGCTGTGAATGTGCCATAGTCAGAAATCAGTTGCTCCTGGACATGCGTTCATTATATGGATGCTACTGTACAGATATGTACTGATGATGGCAAGCAAACTGAAATGTAACCCTCACAGATATGCAAATAAGTACAGAACATCCTCACATACATTGATTGTATACACAAACACACTCACACCCTCAGCATCCCCCCAGAGGCAGAAGAAGCTGCAGTTTGTCCGTGATCTGGAGCTCTTAGTGCTGCTAATCTAGTCAAGGTGCTATTAGCACCCCAACCTGACAGCCATTAGGAAGCTGCTCATCTGGCTGTTACTCACCAGAGTACACTTTAATGGCCTATATGTGCATTTGAGTCAGATTATGATGCATTGGTGGAAATAGTTTTGCTTACTAATAGAGGGATTCATAGTGTATACTCTGGAAATGACTTTTTTCAGATGATTTGTGGTGCCACAACTAGGGCTGCAGATTTTGATTTTAGTGGGAATGGTAATTTATTTTCACTGAAAAAAATATAAAAACAATGATGATATGAATTTGATTTGTAGGCTGGGGCATCTCTGTCACACCACAATGCTTTATTTATGATGCTGCTATGTTGTACACATTTTATCTTTATCAAAAAATTGCAGCTCCTGTGTTTTGGATATTGGCCATAATGCGGTTTCGATCATATTTAGATTAATTGTGCAGCACTTGCCATATATTTAAAACATTTAGAGGCTTATTTATGCAGTGCTTCTTTCTCCATACCCTCAGTCATTTCACCGCTAAATAGAAAAGCTCATAGAAAACAAAAGAATGAATAGAAAAAGGGTAATACCAGTTTAATCACGCAACCATGCTTTATTTTTTACATATTCACTTTTTATTGTATGTTGTTTAATTGCCTTGTGTGTGTGTTTTTTGATCTCATGTTATTGCTGTTTTCAGTGCCTCTCTGGGGACAAATAAAGTTCTGCTTGACTTGAGTTGACGTATTGTGCAAGTTCTGACCTCCTACAGTTTTCCATAATGAGTTTTAGGTGTAGCATTTATTTTCAAAGCGATTCCACATCCCACCCATCACATCTGTTATTACTCTTTCTATTCTCTTAAAAAGCAGCATCTAATCTTGACCAAAATCTGTCCACAGCCACATTTCTAAACTTGTTTTAACTTTTCTGTTTGCTTTGTTTTGTTGCAGTACATGGGCTGCATTGAAGTATTGAAGTCAATGCGCTCCCTGGACTTCAACACGCGGACTCAGGTGACGAGGTACGCTGGTAACCACCTCTATTGGTAGTGATGAGTCAGGAGAATTTGATCCAACATGTATAGGATTAACTCAAGTATCAGCCACTATGATATCAAATATGCTGCCAGCGGTGTGTGTCAGTTCTTGGCTGTTAGTGGAGTAAGTGTGGGTAGGGTTTCTTTTTTTTATTATTATGTCAGCGTGACTTGATGGATGATTTTTAATAAGAAGGCCTAAACCTGTAGCTTTTGATTTAAAACAGATAACAGATGCAGAAGTGGAGAAGCTGCATTGTTTTTTCATTGACAGCAGCCCTGCTCAACCAGTTTCAGCGGAAATTAAACGTAGAAAAACGTAAATCAAAACTTAAGTCACAAGATTCTGCACAATGGCAGCAGTATAGAGTCATGCATCCCAGTTAAGAGACAGCTGCTTAAAGCTCCAGTATATGTGCTCAGCAGCGGTACATTATGTGTACGTTTAAAGCCATACCTCCGGGTCTCAGTGTGTCTGTGTCGTGTTGTTATGCCCTACATGTGATGTTATTGTTATAAAAGCAGGCTTCTTTGCAATGCACGGCCTCATGGGAGAAGTGCACTGCCCCCGTTCCCTCCCTCCCCCGTCTATCACCCTGCTCTCTCTCCTCCACAATCGATCGGCAGTAATCGGAGCCCACCGTGCATCCAAGGCTTAAGTGCAGGGGGTGGAGGCTGCAGTAGATGGAGTGATAGAGAGGGAGATCTATTATTGATGATGTTTTGCTAATGACTGTGGAAAGCTGCAGTGGTCCCCATGAACGCACCCTGCTGGATAATGTCTGCGGTTGTAACTTCTTGAGGAGGAGGAGGAGGAGGAGGAGGAGGGAGGAGGGAGGAGGGAGGAGAGAGTTCAAAAACAAAACAAAACATTAGCAAAGGGAGAAACTATACTGAGCATATGACTTCACCAGTTGTTGCAGTATGACTGACTGCATGACATCAGTTTGGTCATTATTGTTTTAGTGCGTTGATGATGATGATGATGATGTTTTGTTTTTGCATCCTTGTGGCTGTTGACAATCGGATAGATCAGCGTGCTCACCCTTTGTTGAATCTACTGCAGCCGTTTCCATTCAGAAACATGTGCAAGGCAGTTTATCAATGGCAGCTTTACAACTGATTTCCAAATTTGCTAATGGCACGAGGCCTCTGATTCCTTTGGGAGCAAAGCGACGGGCCATCTGTCCCACAAGGCCAGAAATCAATGATTGATTGTCTTTAATCAATTAACAAACGTACTTCACAGGGTATTTTACTACATGTTTATTCTTGCTGTGCAAATCAAAAGCAGCTTTTTAAAGTTGTGTCCAGAGCTGGGGTTTTTTCAGCTTGCTGACTTGTACACGGGTTCATCTAGTCCTGGAAAACCACAACAAAACATTCAATGCTTGTCAGAATTTCAAAAATGCACTTCAGCTCCTGGATTTGAAGAAGTTGCACTCTCCCAACAGTACTCTCTGTGTTAGGTGTTACACAGCAACACCAGGGATAATGAAGACTAGCATTTTATTGCAGCGAAGATACAGAGGCTGCAGACAAAAACAACAACAGCCCATCTCTTTCCTCCTCCTCCTCCTCCTCCTCCTCCTCCTCCCTCTGCCCTCTCATCAGCATGAGTCATTTGAACATTGTTGTGTTTTTCAAAAATCCCTGAGAAGACCTTTACTCGAGATGGGGCCCGGGACGCTGCTTTTTAAATATTTACGAGCCACTTGATAGGGGCAGCTGGGTTCTTGACTGCTGTCCCCGCTGTCCCCTGGCAGCGAGAGCGCGTGAGCTCCAGCCTCAAATCCACATTATGCCTCACTCCCGCCATCAGACACACAGGGGACAGAGGCTTTAAACGCCCATTAGACGGCCATTCCCAGGAGTTATAGCAGCTTTACTGCAAAGTTCTACAGAGAGAATTGCACTGTGGAAAAATAAATGTGAGTTACGATGCCCTGAAGAAGCGGTAGGAGACCCCAGACACTTTGATTTGGTAAATTACAGTGTTTCTCCTTCCCTAATTTGACAGGGAGTTAAACACCAGCTTGATAAACAATCACCATCAAACATCAGTGGTTAGAACTAGTTCAGTGCTTGTGAGCAGTAGCTAGAAAACCTTTCTTAACCTTTGAACTGTGATGGGTCTGTGACCTTTGACCTCAGCCGGAGGGAGGGAACACAAAGCTTCTGTTCATGTTTAACCTCAGGTTTTTCCATCACTGTGATGCAGCAGTTTTTTTTTGCAGCCTTTAACACTGACTCATCATTTAAAACTTAAATCTCAGTTACACTCCTCACATTGTTGTCAGTGGATTGTTAAGATTTGTGTGAACAGGTGACAGGAATCCACATGATTTTCATATTTGGTGTCCTTCTTATTAGATCAGTGGCGAATATGTCCCGCTAGAGTCTGACCTTTGACCTTTCCTTATTCTCCTAATTAGGGAAGCCATCAACAGGCTGTGTGATGCAGTGCCAGGTGGAAAGGGCGCTTGGAGGAAGAAGGTTAACAGTAATCTTTGATCCTATTGTGCATGTTCAGCACTACATTATTTTGTCCCTGCTAGCGAACTTAATAATTTGAAGTTACCTATGAAAGTCACTTTGGTTCACATGATGTCTGAATTATCTGTTGCTGCAGATATTTTGTCTCATAACCAAACACAGTACATACAGAATGAAATTTCTGTGTCATGAATGTGAGTACAGTTTTAAATATCTGATTGTAATTTCTACTGTATTCTTTTTTTCCTCATGCAGGTCCAGAACAAAGCTCTCCAGTCTGTAATGGGGAAGAGTAACCTACGATTTGCAGGCATGAGTATTGCAGTCAATATTTCCATAGATGGCCTCGGTCTGCTCATCCCTACCACAAGACAGGTATAATACTATAACTACCATAAGTTCATCTGCACAAAGATTGGACTGATACATTTGTCCAAATAGCCTTTTATGAAATGTAATTGTCTACCGCTGATACATAGAAGGTTCCTTCCTGACCGCCAATAAATTATTATAATTATTGTAATTTCTTCTTTAATCATCAGTCCCAAAGTTTTCCCATCTAATAAATTGTTGTGTTGTTAACAAATTGCTAATTGACATCTAAAATAAATGAATAAATCTGGGTTTTATATAGATAATTATTAAGTAAAAATGCACCTTTCACAGAAAATAAATTCACAAAGTACTTCAAACAATGAAACATGCAATCAATAAAAACAAAGGCAATATAACAAATAAAACAAGGCAACAAAAGGAAAGTAAAACACAGAGCAAATACAGGCTACTGAGACCCAAAACAGAAACATACCAGGGAACAAGCACTGGACAATTTAGGGTGGGACAAAGGCCATTTTGAAGAGATGGTTCTTCAGTTGTTTTTTAAAAATTGCTAAAGAGACCGCAGACCGTAAACCGAATGGAAGAGAGTTCCAAAGTGTTGGGGCCACTACTTCACAGGCCTGACCATGGAGGGCTCTATACATAAGAACAAGTATCTTAAAGTGAATCCTGAACTTGATTGGAAGCCAGTGTAAAGAAACTAAAATGGCAGTGATGTGGGTTAACCTGTTGGGCCTGGTTAACAGCCTAGCAGCAGTGTTCTGGATTATTTGAAGACGATTCAAAGAAGATTTGTTTGGACCAGTTAAAAGAGAATCAAAGTAGTCCAGGCGGGAGGACATAAAAGCATGGGTAATCATCTCTAGCTCAGGGCTAGACACCACAGACCTGCAGTATTTTTTAGCTTAATAAAACACGCACGGGTCAGTAATTTGACGTGATGATCAAAATGCATGTCCTGGTCAAGAATAACAATAAGATTCCTGAAATTTCACCATAGAGCTGCTGAAATGGACCCATTTGAAATCAATGCAAAAAAAATACCAATTTATTTAGAACATCTGTGGACAAAAAGAAGGGTGCTCCAAGTGCAAAATATAATAAAAAAGTGGGGGAAAAACAGCAGCAAACATTTCAGTCTTTGACTATCATCAGTGCTACTGACATGAGTGATTCACAGAACACATAATAGACACAGACAGATTCCTACCAGGTGTGATGAGTCAGTCAGCTGGTGCCACTAATTAGATGAGATCAACTCTGAGGAGCAGAGGCCTGACTACCAGATCACAATGATCTGTCATATGAGTGCTATACTATTCACAACATCCTCAAACACCAATGTATGATAGCAGAACATATACAGATGTACAAAAACACAACTATACACTGCAAAGCAACAGTGAATACTAATGTTTTAAGCCCTGATTTAAAGGAGCTTTTAGCAAACCTCAGGAATACAGGGAGCTTGTACCTCAGGTGGGTAGCATAGAAACTAAAATCTGCTTTACTTTGATTTGGTTTGATCCTTTGATCCACCTCGCTTGGTTTTGATTCTCTTCCTTAGGGAAGAATTTCAATGCTCCAGTAAATGATGTTCAGAGGCATTTTCTGCAGAAAATACAAATCACTGTGTACTAAACTTCCTGTGTTTTGGCGTCTCCTGTCTTCCTGTCCATTTGTGTTGTCTCTATCCACATTAATCAGTGATGTCATGTGAAAGTAGAATATTGGCAAACCTCCGCCTCTGTTTTTCTCCGCTTGTCTCTTTCAGGTGATAGCACACCATCCCATGCAGTCCATCTCCTTTGCCTCTGGGGGAGACACAGTGAGTGCAGCGTTTCTCTCTCAGCTCGCGTTTATGTTGTTGTTGAAATGTACATTTTGGCAGACTAGATTCCTTTTTACTGCTCTCCAATCTCATGACCCGGGGAATCAATGAGGGCTTTAATTTCGTTATATATGTCTAATTTATGTGGACTAATTGAATTTATCCTCCTCTCTGTTGCAGGACACGCCTGATTATGTTGCATATGTGGCCAAAGACCCAGTGAATCAGAGAGGTATGTCCTGAAAAGATTCTCCTTCAGACTCACTGCCTGAAGGAGCTCACTACTTCTTCTTTTTCTTCTTCTTCAATTTTATATTTTACGGGTCTCATGCTCAGGTACCAAAAAATGGCTCATTAGCATCCCCTACAAAATTTTGACAAAACAGCCCCTGATGCTACTTTCATCTACATGTACGAAATTTAGTAGGCACATGTAATGTCCGAAGACATACAAAAAAGTCTCTTCAACCCATGCTCTAAACCCAACAGGAAGTCGGCCATTTTAAATTTACTGTGCCACTTTTGTGCATTTTTGGTCATTTCCAGAGATATCACACCCATAAAAAAGATTAAAAAGATTAAAAAAAAAATAAGTCACCATATACACAGAGTTTCGTAAAGAAACACCTCAAGGTCCACTGTGTCCAAGGAGTTTGCCTTGTTGTTTCTACAGCAGCTGAGAATGGACAAATCAAACACTAACTCCAGATAGGCTAATTCATGTTTTTGCATTTTCGCATTTTCATGTAGGACTCTTGAGTTCTACCTCACGTTTGGCAAATGGAAAAATCTTCTGTTTTGCAACCTCACCGCTAGATGCCACTACATCCTACACACTAGACCAGGGGTCGGCAACCTGTACTATCAAAAGAGCCATTTTTGACCAAAAATAATAAAAATAAATCTGTGTTTAGCCGTAAAACATATTGGAGCCTTATAATAAAGATAACATAGCCTATTAAGTCTAAATTAGCCTGTACTAATAGTCTAAACGAGCATTCATCAATATGTTTTACCACAAGGTGGCGACTGTGCCGGGCACTATTGATGATTATTTGGTACTTTAACTTTGCACAGCTGGCAGTGAAACAAATCTGTCCACGCGCTACTAAATTCTCTATATTACTTTATTCAATGATATTTACTTTTTTGGATTTGGCATTCACAGCTAACCAGTCAGGAAGACTCAGGACTAGCTGCTGCTATCGTAGTTCGGCAAAATTTTGAGGAAGAGGTGCCAGGCAGTACATGTATTACACAAATTTTAGCTGCTTTATTCAGTAAATGGGCTTCACATTTTTGCAGTTTGAGAATGTAAGGATTTCTAAAGGCCTACAACACTGACAAATGACAAAAAAAAAACATTAGTTATTTCCATATAATTCTTCTGTCAAAGCCACAGGGAGCCACTGGAGAGGGGCTAAAGAGCCGCATGTGGCTCCAGAGCCACAGGTTGCCCACCCCTACACTAAACCTTTACAATAGTGGTATTAACACTGAGCCAGGATCTTACTCCTAAAAGTGTGTGACAGCTGGAAAAAAGATTTCCTTTCTTGTCTTGTCTCCTGCAGCATGTCACATCCTGGAGTGCTCAGACGGTTTAGCCCAGAGTGTCATCAGCACCATCGGCCAAGCCTTCGAGCTGCAGTTCAAACAGTACCTGCACAGTCCTCCCAAAACCATGACATCTATGGACAGGTAACAGCCACCCAGCTGCACTTATGACTTCTATGAAAAGTGAAGAGCCTTTAAAGAGTTTTTGTCACTGTCCTCCAAATCTGTGGAGTCATGACATGACAGTAAATCATTGATTTGCAGCATATTTCTAAAAAATAGCAGCAACATAGTGATAAGAAATAACTTTAATATGCATTTAAACTTTAAACATGTCAGTGAAAATCCAGTGTCATTTTAGGAGGATTGATTCCCAGAGGAAGTGCAGGTGTTGGTTGTCACACTCAGTCATCTAACTTTGACATAAATACTGTCCAGTCGTCCTGCACAAAAGAGCTTAGTCGCATTTTCCACCACAAAAACCTGATCTACTGTACCGCGCTCAGATTTCTTTGTTATTTATTACAAGGAGACATGATAGTTTGTTCTTGTATTACCTCAACATCCCATCTTATAATATTGATCCTCACAGATCTTCTCACCTCTTTGGCCAAACCTCAGGTGTTGCAGTGATGCTGCTGCAGACACAGGAGGAACTCCAGACTGTTAGTCTTTTCTATTCTGGTTTCAAATGAATGTCTTACTGCTGCCAACAGCTCTGGTGATCTATATAAATATCTAGCAGATTTTTATAGATCACTTTCGGATGTGGAGATGTCATTTGATCGGACTGAATCCATTTGAGAACCCAGGTTTCCTTATCGTTATCATTACTAATAACTTTGCTCACCCAGTCTTGAAACAGGGACAAAACCTTATTTTTGAGGGGTTTTACTCCTCAATTAAAATATCAAAGTTGTGAGTATTAAACCTTTTAATGGGCCAACCTTCCAGTGATTTAATTCTCTCTTCAACAGCTTACATAATAGGTGTCAGAGGTAAAATCTGCCGGAGTCGACGAAAAAAAAAAAATATATTTATAAATTTCACAGCATTCGTAGTGAGTAGCCATTTTATTTTTCAAAGTTGCCAAAAGTTCTCTTTGATACTAATCAAAATACTAATTTTTAAACCATAATTCTTATTTAGTTTGGATTTAGAAGGGCTACAGAGTTGACATGATATGGCTGAGACACACCGAATAGCAATATTATTTAATGTTGACATCCCAGCTGACATTGGGCGAGAGGCAGGGTACACCCTGGACAGGTTGCCAGACTATCACAGGGCTGACACATAGAGACAGACAACCATTCACACTCACATTCACACCTACGGACAATTTAGAGTCACCAATTAACCTGCATGTTTTTGGACTGTGGGAGGAAACTGGAGCACCTGGAGAAAACCCGCGCTGACATGGGGAGAACATGCAAACTCTGCACAGAAGGGCGAATTCTTGCTGTGAGGCGACAGTGCCCTGCACGGAGGGGCTCCCCCACCCTGGGGTTCAAACCCCCCATGCTAGATTTGAACTGGAAACCCTCTTGCTGTGAGGCGACAATGCCACTGCACCACTGTACCGCCATTTTATAATGCCACCATTATTCATTATTGAATGAATAGATAAAGCTTAACAGTACTTGAGCAGCGCTCCCGCCTTTATGGAAACCAGAAAGTGGAACAGGATTCCTTAATGATGTTTTTGTAAAAATATGACAAGAGTTGACAAAAATCTGGGATGCATCTTTACATACATCATAGCAGCACATTTTCACACCAATAGTATCAATATATACAGTTAATTTTAGATTCTGAAGGCTTTTGTTGTTGTTTTAAGTTGGGGATTCTTGTCTGGGACAAGTCTGTTTTCTGGCACAGGGCAAGTTTAGAAGTTAAAAAAATGAAAGCAGATCAAAATATTTTATAAATCATACTTTTTTCATAGATATAAATTCTTTAAAAATAATGTTTCACCCCAAAAAAGGAATTAGTGCGTTGATAAGTTATAATTTTAAGGGTTGGCAGGACATGATTTTAATGGGTACACCATAAAAAGTAAAATTAATTATTAACAAAGTTATTGTTTGTTTGGATTAGAGAAATTGTGATATTGATTTTGTAGTAACATCATAAAACCTCAATTAATAGCCCGGGCTTTTATTTGCTTAAATCACTGAAATCAACAGGCCTATATTTGGGACAGGACTTTAATTCTTTTCACACAAAACTGTTGCTCAGCAAAGATCAGGAAATACAATCAAATTGTTTCTTTAAACCAGTATGAATATTACTTGTTTAAAAATTAGGCTTCAGATGATATATCAATTATGCATCATTCATTTGATCTAGCTCCGTCAGACAGCATATCAGAGAGAGTGAGTTAAGGCACTCAAGGATTACGGCATACTGACACACCACCAATTTCTCCTGTTAAAACAATACTCACAACTTGGATTAATTTTTATGAAAAACCCTTTTGATTCTTTTAATCTTAGGACCCCTATGGACTAAAGGAGTATGAATTACTTACAGGGTAATCAAGGACTGGACTCGGAATTTGAGGTAGACAACAACCCAAGTTTTACACATCTGAAGAACTTCTATAAAAAAAATGAACTGCTTGGCAACCAGACCAGGCGTCTGATTGAGACAGGTGTTTGTTAGTGTTGTTAGGTGTTTGTTTAATTGAAGTTTTTTATGGTAATAATCAAATGTATCTTCTTCAGGTCTATACGGATGGAGGAGCCGATGTGGGGGGAGGACGAGGACTTCTCTGAGCATGATTACTACAACAGCATCCCAGGGAAGGAGCCTCCTGTTGGGGGAGTGGTGGACTCCCGCCTCAGGCCCAGTGGAGCCCTGCTGGGTCACATCCACACACAACCACAGAGCAAAGGAGCAGCACAGGTGAATCTCCAGGCATGATTTTTGGAAACATCATTAAGTCATGTCAGGTTCTGGATGCAATCTTGACATCTAATGTCATCATGGGTGTAATCAAAGCTCCATCTGGTTAACATCAAGCAGTGCATGACTAACATTTGCCAGGCAGTGAGGTGAAGTGTTTGATAGTTCCCTCGTAAACTGGTGACTGATGTGTTTTCTTGCTCCTTCTCTGTTTTGTTTGAATGAAATTATACATCAGGAGCATGAAAATATTCTCCATAACTGTCTTCCTGATGTGCCTGCAGCATAATTGACAAAGATAGATGTGATTGCCTAAAAAGCTTTGCCTCCTCTGTTGCCTGCCGCGTGAGAGAAATCACTGCTCTCCCTCGCTGCAGCTGCTTCAAAAATATGGTGACATGCCGTAGCTAATGTTTCAAATAGAGTGCTTCAAAACTACATTAACCAGGGGGACAGGAGAAGAGTGAGCTGTCCATTCAGGTACAGAGATACAAATGTATTTAGGATGTGCTCCTGTGGTGTGTGTTTGCAGATGGGCTCACCAGCGAGGAGGGAGCAAGCATCTTATCCCCCTGGTCAGCTGTGCTATGAGCTGCACTGGGACACTGAGACGACCAGCAGCTCAGGTGAGACACCCTGTGGCAGGAAGCACGTATAACACCTGGGAAAACAGTGTGATGAAAGTTTTTGTCATTTTTGTGAGGTATTATTCTGAACGTCTGGTCATCACTGCCCTGAATGAAACTTACTAGCCTTCTAACACACGCTCAGTTTTTGGACCATTCTCAAGATCGTCCTGATAGAATTACTGAAGGACTCTTGGTATCTTCAATCAGGATGACCTTCCAGATAAAAGACTCATGGTTCAAGTTTGTCATCTTTGATCGGAGGAAAGCTTAGAGCGTACTCAAGATTCCCTGAATTCCATTTAGATTATAACAGTGGTTAATCTTGAAATAACAATTGTAAAAGTTAATTAAAAGTGACATGGCAATGCAGCGACGACGAAGATAGACTTCAGATAATCAAGTTTAATTTACCACCACTTTATCTACTAAAATGCAATCAAGATTTGTTTGTATATTTTATCTTACCTTCAGGTTTGTGCAGTTTAAAGTACATAACTAAATGTTAAAGTTACAGAGACCAAGCAGCTGTCCATGACCTTTTTTTTAATCAGTTATCTTGAGATCACAGGTTAATTATTTCATCATCTTGAGATAACAGAGTTTGTTTGTTTCTGATTTAAGTTCTCGAGATAATCACAAGAAAATGACATTTCCCACTAAGTGATTTTGAAAAAACAAAAGTCTCAAAATTTATGTCGAGAAATCTGCCTTTTGTTTTCTCGAGAATCAATATAAATCAGCCCATTATTGTGAGAAAACCACTTTTATTATCTCAAGATAATGGTAAATGGTAAATGGACTGCACTTGTATGGCGCCTTTCTAGTCTTCCGACCACTTAAAGCCCTTTTTTACACCACATGTCACATTCACACATTCACACACTGGTGGCTGAGGCTACCATACATGGTGCCACCTGTTACTCAGTAACCACTCACACGCACTCACACACCGATGGAACAGCCATCTAGAGCAATTTAGGGTTCAGTATCTTGCCCAAGGATATTTTGATCAAATGATCAAACTGCCAATTTTCCAGGTGGTGGACAACCCACTCAACTTCTGAGCCACAGTCGAAATAATTAACTTGTGATCTTGAGATAATGTTGTTTAAAAATAAAGTGAGGTACATTAGTGTGAAACAGGGGAGGAAAAAAAGGAATAAATAAACAATGTAGAGAGAGGAAGGTGTATATGAATGGGTCATTGCAGGGCATAAAAAGCTGTTTGGAGATTTTTAGTGTTCTGACGGAGCGTAATGGAGGATTCAACTGCTATGTGTATTAATCGTCTCATGCAGGTAGTCATCCTGGAGAAATGGAGGTCAGGCTTTTTACATAATTGATCAGGGGCTGCTGATTACATTAAGATTTGTCTGTCGAACCCCTAATGGAAAAAAAATTTTTCCAACTCCGACAAAGACATTGTATCATGCAGCCATTAAAAAGGGGATGGGGGCACTGGTTTCTTAAAGAGGTAAATGAGATTACGTTTGCTTTATGGATATATTTTTGCCAGCTTCAGGTTTACCAAAGATTTATTGAATCGATGGGGAAGGCTCTATTACTTGTTCTAATATTATGGAAATAATTCTGAAATAAGACTCCCAGTGCGCCCCCAGACTCGATAGTGACCAAAACACACGAGTTACATTGCAAGTAGACTCGGAGCATCTGTCACAAGTGTCAGCCATACTCAGGTCTATCTTGGCAAGTATTGCTTTACTGCAGTGTCGTAGGAATTGAAATTTTCAATAAGACGAAGAAGATTTTTTTTTTCTACCAGCGCCTCAAACCACATATCATCAGACATGTTAATGCAAAGATCTGTTTCCCTATTTTATATTATTAATTGGGGGGAAAAAATCCTCCCTTATTTTTAAAGTTTTGTTTTTCACTTTTAATAGTCACTAGTGACTCCAGAAGCTGCCGTCTGACTGGTGGCTCCATACACTTGGTCTATAATCATGACATTAGTAATACACACCCACTTCAGTACCATCTGGTTTGACTGTCTTAGCGTTTTTACAGGAATAAGACATACATATTAAGAGGCGTCTGACAGAGCTCAAAATTTCAAGTTGTGATTTTAGCCACTAGAGGGAGCCAAAAAATAAGAAACCAAAAAAAAAAAAGGTTTCACACACAGATATGTGACACACAAACACACGCATTTCCAGAAGTCAGAAATGAGCTGATGGCTCCTGTCTTTCTCAGGTCTAACATCAGACGGTTACCTGTGTGCTGACGGCCAGCCACCAGGCAGCAGAGATTATGAGGAGCATCAGTATGTTAACACCCAGAGTCTGGAAAACCTGGATTCATTTGCACAGGGGCCCAATGGACACAGAGGGCCCAGGCCACCTGACAGTCCCAAAAAGGACCTCTTTGACATGAGTAAGTCCTGCGACACGTTCTGACACATGTAGTCTAAAAATACACTCACTTTTTTTATATGACAAACACTGTAGAGTGACCACATTTTCCCTGCAGGGCCCTTTGAGGATGCCCTGAAGCTCCACGAGGCCTGTGGAGGAGCTGCAGCTGGAGGAGGAGGTGTCCGGGTCCTGGAAGACCAGTGGCCCAGCCCTCCACGCCGTCGAGCCCCCGTGGCTCCAAACGAGGATCAGCTCCGCAGAGAGCCGTGGTACCACAGCCGCATGAGCAGACGAGACGCAGAAAAGCTCCTGGTCCGAGATGGAGATTTCCTGGTTCGGGAGAGCACCACCAACCCGGGACAGTATGTGCTGACCGGCATGCACTGTGGCCTGCCCAAACACCTACTGCTGGTGGACCCAGAGGGAGTGGTGAGTCTGGCAGCAAGGGAAAACAGCTACATACAATGCATACCAGTTAGAAGGTTTGTGCTGTAAGCGGTAAACACAATTTCATGTTTCGCTGTCCTCTGAACAGGTACGAACCAAAGACATGTTATTTGAGAGCATAAGCCACCTTATCGCATACCACCTTAAGAACGAGCTGCCTATTGTGGCAGCAGAAAGCGAGCTCCACCTCAAACAGGTGGTCAGGAGGAAACAGTGAGCCATCTGGCCCTGCATGGGACGGTAAGCTGCAGTATATTATGTATGTACTAGATGTCTTAAATGATTTAATGATGGAAAATGAAGATATCAAAGAGACAGTGAATAATAAACCTTCTTACATCAGTGTAAGTCCCATGAAAAAAAGGTGTATTTTCGATGAAAATATAGCTGGTTGTTGTTTACATTGGGTGATCAATTGGAACTCAACTACTGTATGTGATAATTACATTTTAGCATTCAGTAAATGGACAGATTATCCTATGTCAAGCATCTGACTACTGTATCTACAAGCCATTTAAAAAAAAAATAAAAAATGAAGTAAAATAATAATGATAATGAACTTAATCATGGAGCGCTTTTCATACAAGAGAAGTAGCTCAAAATAAATGTTTAAAATAAAGATGCAACACATTAAAACAAAGGTCAAATAGTCAGTAAAATTAGACAATAAAAAGATACAATAAATAATAAAATACATAAGTGAAAGTAAAAAGCTGAGACCAGTAATAATAATTATAAGATAATTAGTAAAAAAAAAAGACATTAATTAAAGGCTAAATAAAATAAACAGGTTTTCAGATGTTTAAAAGTGCTCACAGAGCCTGCCCTGAGGGAGGGGTATTCCATAATTTTGGAGCATAGTTAAACAAAGCTGCGCTGCCTGTTTTGTTGTGCGTATAACTGTGTGTATTTTAAAACACAGCAGTGGAAGATCTAAGAGTTTGTTGAGGGGTATAACAACACAGTTTCTGCAATGTAGGCTGGTCTCAAGCCATTAAGAGCAATACAAATAAATAAAAAGAACCCTAAAATCTATTCTTAAAGACACTGGGAGCCAATGGAGTGACTTGTTTTGGTAAAAAATCTACTGTAGCAGCACAGTTCTGAATAAGTTTTGGAAGGCCAGTAAAAAGATGATAACAAAAATGTATCTATCTGAAATAAAAGCATAAATATAATATTGACAACAGAACAGAATATAATATGTGGACTGAGAAGATACGGGAAATTTACCAGATGGAACGGATAATGTACTCAATGAGACTCCAGAAAGAAATATTAATTATAAGATTGAGCCCTGCTATCGCCACACTAATATAGTGAAGCGATCAAAATCCACCTCTGTATTTTACAGTATATATGTATATCTTTATCTCCCTGATAAAAAGTAATTTAAAAAAAAGCATTTTAATTTTTTAATGTTTTTCAGGATCTTTACAGGTCATTAAAAACAGCCATACTTTGGCAGTGTTCTTAAGTGATAAAAAGCTGTTTTGGTCACCCCCTTTATGTGTGAAGTAAAATTTAACTCCAATCTAAAACAATGCCTAGTGACTAAATTGAAAACTACTGTACTGATATTTAATCTGTGCCTAAAATTCTCCTCCTTCTTTGTCTGCTATATTTCATAGCTGGATTCTTGCACCCCCATGCAGACACCACAGGAGAAAAACAAACCTGGAAATCATTTATCCTGGATGGATTTTTATCTGGAACAAAGGACATCACTGACTTCATCTTTCCATGAACAATAAGGAGAGTGAGGCATCTGACATCTCCTCGTACTTTCTCTGCCTTTTGCCGACCAGGATCAACCAAACTATCCCTCACCTGTCATGAACTCCTTAGCATGCAGCTATTAAGCTAATGAACCAACCAGAGTCCACCGTCTGACTAATTTCAGATGACAAAAATTAAAATGACGAGGACATGACGTCGGGGATCAAATAAGGATCTGATGCACAGAGAAGTCCCACAATGCCTGTAACAGTGAAGTGCTTCCAGTTCCCGACCAGGTCATCCACCGAACAAATAACGGACATCACCAGAATGAAAACTGTCACGTGGTACGGACACTATTCACAAAACAAAAGATGTCAGGTTGATCAGTAGTTCATTTCTGTATCAGTGCAAGAAATGAAAACACTGTGACTTTTGACAATTTAAGAAATGTCTGTTTCATCGGAATGTAAAGACTGTTTGTTCTTACGTGTTCACGGGTCTGCAGTACCTGACTCTGAGATGGCACAATGGAAACACACTGAGCATGCGTCAGTGCTGGGTTTATGAAATAGCCACACATTCTTCTGCATTTTTGTTGTTGTTTCTCCATGATAATCAAGGCACCAAATCCCACTTTTGCATTCATACTATCTGCATATAGACAGTGAAGTGGACATTGCCTTAGAAGTTTTATCACATTTACCATGAGTATAATTTGCATTGTGTTTGTAAGGGCTGCTCATAATTTGTTGTGTTGTACAAGCCTGTGAACATTACTGGTCAGACATCATGGGTTAAAAACTCTTCATACAAACTCAGTATATCCATGCCTATATTTCCACATCTCCAACTTCAGTGCCTTAATGACTACAGAGACAGGCATTTGTGTCAGAGTGTATATAATGTGCATTTATGCCCCCTCTTGCCATGCCAATGAATGACTGAACAAACTTCAGGATGATTAAGCTCTTATACTTGTGAACAGTCATGTAAGCTGCTCTTGTTTTGGGGTAAATGTTTAATACTGTCCAACTGTGTCATGACTGTTATCGTCTCTACGTGTGACCCTCATAACGATCCCCTCAGTGAATTTCGTAGAAGCCACAGACGGCGCTCCTCTACAGTGATTGATATAAAAGAAAGGGGATTATTTGGACTTGAAGTTAAATCATTTATTTGTCCCGGCTCAGGGAGATACATCACTTACGTTTGTGTCTTTACACGTCAGAGACTTGCTCATTTGTTTCTGCTCCTTGGCCCCATTGATACTTTTAAATCTTACTAGAGGTAGGTCGTGTGCGTTTTCATTTCTCTCTGTGTTATTAGCAACATATCTTTAATCAGGCCCTCCACTGTTCTTGGCTGCAGCCTCATGAATGCACAGAGAGACGAGGCGAGCTATGAGGCTTTCGGTGAGGTCCAAATGTGATTATTTCCGATCTCCCCTTTTGCTTTCTCAGGAATTTCTCGGATCTGTTCTCCTTTGATTAACTTTAATGGCTTTTTGTCAATAAAACTAATTGAAACGAGGGTACAATTCAAATGGTGGTTTGTCATTTGTGATGTCTTCATGTCTGCCAGCTATCGTAGCGGCTCTGCAGTTCAGCCCAGCTGTCCGGTTTGCCGTGCGCACACGCCGCAGCCAAATTAGGATTTCAGAGGGACAGTGTGGAAGCTGTTGCTTTGGAAACCTATTGTTTGTTCAGTCTACAATATCCGTGAGTTACAAAGAAGAGGAACAACAGCAGAGTGATTTCTTTTTCTTTTTTATTATAACAATATTGTATAAAATCAATAGGCTTATCACACAACCAATGCACCTGATTCTATCTTCTACATAACCACTCTGTATTCACCCCTGACATAAAGGCTGCTGTCATTTAACTCATCCAGCCATGAAGGCACTCTACAGTTCTATTTTTCACTGTTTTCTTATCGGTCAAGCTTTGCAGCTGTTGTTTAAATTACTGTATTGTACACATGCAGCTATGTCTGAACACAGATTGGTTGTATTTGGCTTTCTGGTCCCACAGGTGGCTGAGCTGGAGCTGCTTCATGCTGACCTGTAAAGGGACTGGAGGTGGAGAGAGACTTGCAGACGTTACAAGGTTCAGTGTCCCTGCTGTGACATCCTCAGGATTTGGAGCAGCAGACTCTGCACCTCGTCATCCATTCGACCCTGTTGGGCGACACACCAGTGTGAGGAAAATGAAATTTCTACATTGTATTCCACATTGGTTCCTGGTTTTATGAGCACATGCAGAGCTGCCATATCAGTTTATCCACTCATCCTTGCAGAGCAGCAGTCTGAGATTTGTAGGTTTGGCCATACACAGACCCACAGTGTCGGCCTTAAAGTAGTCCATAAACAACCCCTGCCTCTGACTCCATCAAAAGGGGACAAAGGGGGGGAATAACACCACCATGGAAAAGAGAAGCCATCCCAGTATGGCAAGCAGCAACCAAGCCACCAGTCAGGCTGACTAGATGGTAGATGCTTCTGCTGATTGAACAGTTCATATGATCAGACTGCACAGATCTACTGCAGACTAAGTGAAATGCTAAATGCCTCTTCTAAGTTGTGAAAGCCAAGAGATAAGGTATGTGCCCATGTACAAGTCAAAGGGGTCCATGTTTACCAACAGCAAAACAATATCAAAACATTAATTTACAAATTCGTACATCACTCGTGGAGTATAATCCAAGTCTCATTTATCCATGCCTTAGGCTTTCCATGTAGGCACATTGAAGGGCAGGGAAGTGTGCTCTCACTGCCTCAGGCTTTCCTTGTTTGCACACGGAAGGGCAAAGAGGTGTGCTCTTTCTGCCTTAAGGCTGTCACACAGGCGTGGGGAAGAGGTTTTCTGTATAGGCTTAGGAAAGGCAGAGGCCCCAGAACAGAGCCATACCGCCAAATATAATACTGCAAATGGAAAGTTTTCTTTGACTAAAGTGTTCCTGACTGAACGGTAACTTCACCTCACTGAACACGGGAGCTGCAGGTCTACTGCTGCCTCCATTTGTAGTTTGTGTTATTATTTGTGTGACTTAGATGAATTTGAACTAACCCTTTAAAACAACAGTTTTTGGATTCATAGTTCACCTGAGACATGCAGCATTTGTTTATATTCTGTTATCCTATGGACTTTGTTTTGGGGTTTTCTGTTTGTGTTCCTTGTTCCATGTTATTCATTCATGTTTAATCTGTTTCCTGTCTTATTTTGTAGATTCTCTCCTCATGTGTCGTATCTGGTTTTGCTTCCTGTCTTCATGTGTTTTTATCACCTGTTTTCTGTCACACCTGTCTCGTTAGTCCCTCCCTGTTCCCAGAGTCTTCCCTTCACGCCTGTCCTGTATTAGTCTTGTCTGCTCCACCCTTGTTGTTGGCCAATCTCCATTTCCCTCCTTTTGTCCATGTCTTCCTACTCCAGCTGTGTCTTGTCTTTGTGATTAGTTTTCTGTGTACATATACCTGTGTGTTTTCCTTTGTCAGGTTGTCTGTCTTCCTCTTGGGTGCATTCTGTGGTCGTTCCTGCAGTCATCCCTGCGTTATTCCTGTGCTCATCCCTGTTAATTGTGTTTTACCGGGTTGATTTTCAGTTTGGTTTTTGTTCTGCTTTTGTTTGGACTTTAAGTTGCCTGCCTGTACTAGATGTTTTCAATTGGCTACATTAAAGCTCACTTTTTTTTTAGAAACTCAGACTGTCTGTTGGTCTGCATTTGGGTCCTCGTCTGAACTGACACGTGACACATGTGAGAAAACAGTGTTTTCTTTTCCAAATTAACGTAATACAAGGTGAATAACTGTTATACCAGTGTTCATTTAAGGTATGTAAGGTAACATTAAGAGGCCAAAAGTTCTCTTAAAGGTCAGCGACACCTGAGCAATCCCTCATTACAACCAACACGACAAAAAGAAAAAGCTAATGTGAACACCTTAGTTGTGGAATATGATCAAACTGATTGAACGGGAGAACGAGTCAAGCCCCTTGTCCCTGCACCGCTTCTGAAATTTCATCCACTTTTGTCTGGTAAGCAGAGATGGTGGACGGATCGTTCCCGCTCTTAATTGTCTGCACCACAAAGGGGGACAATAAACCTTCAAAAAAATTACATTCTTAAATCTTACAGCAGAGGTTTAAGTATTCATTTGTACTTAGGCTCAAATATGTGCATTCAACTCACCTGTACAGCAGCCAGTAAATGTGACCGGTACACCGTAACCACCTGTTTGTGCTTTCTCTCCCAATCCTGCAAAACAGTTGTGAAAATTTAAGGTTGTGTTTTGTCATTTTCATAAGAGATTTTCCCCCCCTCATCCCTAGTGATAATGTTCTCCTCACCTGGAGCTGCTGTGTGAGGATGGAGATCCTGTTCTGCAGTGCCATTTGCTGCCCAGGGTTACCATGATGTGTAGATGAGGAGGACGAGGAGGTGATGCCCAGAGGAGGCGACAGAGCTCCGAGGGCCTCCTTTAGTCGAAACACCTCCTTGGACAGCTCTGTTATCTGCACAGAGACAGAGACATCAGTTTGGTCGCCTCATAGTTGCTGCTAGTTGTTTGAGCCTGCCATCCGAACTCTCACCTTGCGATCCTTCTCCTTAACCAAGCCCTGGGATTCCTGGATGCCCTTGTGGAGCTCCTGGATGTGGCTGGATTGCGCCTGTAACTCGGCTAGCTGCTGCTGCACAGTGGCCAGCTGGGACTCTGCGGCCTGACGCTCGCTCTTGTTAAAGAGAGCCTCCCTTTGCACCTGGAACACCTAGACCAGTAAAACCACCAGCGGCACCCTGTCACTTCAGTAAAGCTGTCTACGTTTGATCACGTCTCAAACTGAGAAGCTGCCTGCCTATAACAGAAGCTGATCCAGAAGCTTGATATCTAAAGTTTCTGCCAATTAATATCTAGGACATAGACTTACATTTTATGTGTCTCCCTGTGTTGCCTTGTAGAAAAGCTTCGCCACTATTTTGCTGCATGATTGTCATAATATTTCCATCGTAACATGCTACGCTACACCTTGTCTTATTTCCTGATTTAGTGGCTGAATGTAACCTCCTCTAAAATTAAGATTTCTAAAATAAATCTGAAATATTTCTTCTTCAAAATCATTATTCCCAAAACCACTGTTTTTGCTCACGGGAATTTCCAGTTTCCCAAGGTAACAGCTCTCTCTTTGATCTCCGTACACCCACACTAGAGTGCAAATAAATACAGTAAACCAGGCTTCAGTAAATCTGTGCACTTTTGCTTTTGTTGCCATGTTTAACTGTGATTTTCTCTCAGGGAAGTGTGATTTTGTAACAATACTGCCTCCATTACCAGCACCAATTTACATATTTGTGTGTGTGTGTGTGTGTGTGTGTGTGTGAGCACTGACCAACACTAAATCCTAATGTTGGATTTGGGTTCCAAACAGCCCATGTTTTTTTTAATTAAGTGCCTTCTACTTTTAGCAGGGCTCAATTTATGAAGCACAAAAGAAGCCATTTTAATATCCTTCTCTGTGTGAGACGTGGCCCCTCATTAACCTCTGTTTTGAGGAGTCGGAGACGCAATTACCAAGTTTACAAAGTGAGAGTTTTTATATCTAAATGGAAATGACTTCTGGAGTGTCATTAGTGGCCCATAGTGCACAAACAACACGACTTCAGTGCATCGGTAAACACATATACAGAGGATTCAAAGAGGGAGCTGCTGAATAGAGAAAGTAATACACATATGAATAATGTAGAGGCAGGAAAAAGGCCTTCATGGAACACGGCTCACTTTGTGGCAAACACAATAACATCTAATGTGGCTTTCGATGGCATTAGAGGAGATTGGAGAAGGCAGACATAATAACACACATGCGTGCACACACATACCTCGGTGCAGGTCTTCTCATGTTTGCGAGTGAGATCATTAAAACGGGCTGCGGCGGCGTTGATCTCGGCCTGCAGAGAGAGCCGCAGGGCCTCGTGGTCCTCCTTGGAGATCAGACCCTGCTCTGCAGCCTTCTGGGACTTAAGCTCTCTCAGCTCCATCTCCTTCTCACTCAGAGCCTCCTGAGCTGCTGCTGCACTGCTCTCACTGGCCTGCAGGGAGCGCTGGAGCTCCGCCTAAGGGCCAGGAAGTATAAGGATTAATTATAATGTATGGTCTGGCCAGGCACACACTTCAAAAAGTTAAGTAGCTCATGTAACAACCCATTGGAATATCAGAAATATGCACTGTCACAAAGCTGAAAACTGTGATGATCTGCAATCAGATGCTCTTAACCCTGTTTGGATTATAATTTTCTTACCAAATAATGATCAACAATTACGGTTGTACTTTTCTTGTCAATCATAACCAGACAACCCACTGGAAACAGCTACAAACAGCTGCTACAAATAAACTGCTTTCATTGTGTTTCCCATTCAAAAAGCCTCTTCTTAAGAGGAAACAACTAATTTTGTGAAAATTATATCTCAGCTAAGTGGCAGCCATTTCTGCCTCCTCTGGATTATCATGTTAAACAAGTATTTTACTACTGGAAAGATGGTCCTCATAAAACTGTACCATCTAAGCAGTAGAAGAAAGCAAATACTTTTAAATTTGGTGCTACGTGACCAGAGAAAACAAGAATAAGGGGCTGTGGCATTTGCTTTTGCTTAAGAGGTAAAAAACCTACAGCTACCAGAATGCACTGCGCCACACCGGACCAATAAATGCTCCTGCTGGTGGTTGATGAAATGCAAGCTCGTCCATTTTGACACCAGAAACAATATGGCGGCTGGATGGTAGCAAATGATCTTGAATTACATTTTAACAGTCGGCTAAAATCTGTTTCTGAAAACATTGACGTGAGAAATCGATAACACAGTAACAGAATCTTGGTTTATATCTGATCAGCACTGACAAGTTTTAGGCTGAAGAGTGGTGCAGTTATTAGCATTGGCAAGTTCCTGGTTCAAACCAGTGGGACATTAGAAACACAGAGTTTGCATGTTCTCCCCATGTCAGCGTGGGTTTTCTCTGGGTACTCCAGCTTCCTCCCACAACCTGAAGACATGCAGGTTAACTGGCGACTCTAAATTGTCCATAGGTGTGAATGTGAGTGTGAATGGTTGCCTACTCTATGTGTCAGCCCTGTGATAGTCTGGTGACCTGTCCAGGGTGTACCCTGCCTGTCGCCCAATGTCAGCTGGGATAGACTAGTTTTACTATTTGATTTCAGTTTATTCAGCCTCCATTTTTGAAATACAAGAAACATTATTGCGCCTGCTTCCTGTTCACAAATTCTCATATTACAGCAAAACAGTGCACTAAAATATGTTTCTGAAGACATTTTAGGTGAGAAATACGCAATTCTGTAACAGAATCTTAATATTTGATCAGTGCTGCCTGGTTTTACTGTGTGATCAGAGTTAGGTCTCCGTTTGGGGGCTCTCTTTCTCAATCTGCTTCCATACTCTTTGTGTCCATGGTGGTGGGCATACAAAAACGCAAAGACACAAGCAGCAGACAAGTGGCAGTTTGAGCAACAGCTCTAGAGGCACCAAAAATGTCAGTCACTCTACTACCCACATTGTTATGATAAAAAGCACAAAGCAAGAGCATTTAATACAAGGAGACATGGCAATGAGACAAGAGAAATTTCATCTTCTAAAAAAAGCCCTGCCCTTCGTCTACTCTACATCAGTGCCACACAGGATTTGCTATTCCTGCTGACCTTGATCTTGTCATGCTCCTCTTTGGGTATGGCATCCTGCATGGCCTGCAGTTTGGCCTCTAGTCTGGCAGCCTGCTCCTCGGCCTGACCACGAAAAGTCTTTTCCTCCTGGAGCTCCTGCAGCGTCTGAGCTAGCTGCTCTGACACCGCAGACAGCGCCTCCTTATGTTTCGAGAGCGGCACTGCGTCTTTCAGCTGCAGGGCGTCCTGTGCCCGGCCCTCCCGCTCGGCACACAGACAGTCCAGAGCCTGGGCTGCTTCCTGTCTCGCCACCTCCAGTTCTTCTCTCACTGCCGCCATGGTGCGTCTGGAGTGCTCTGATTGGACAGAGACATGATCAATCACAAAATGCTAAGAAAAGTCAACAATTTTCACTTTTACTTTACTTAAAGTGGAAAAAAAACTACACTGCACACCTGATATGACTGAGGGCTCTGAGCTCTCTGAGTGCTCCTCCTCGTCTTCATCCTCTTCCTCATCTCCGCGTGGAGGAGGCCTGAGTCTCTCCAGGTCAAGGAGGGCATCATTAAGCCTTCTAGCCACGTCCGCTCTCTCCCTCGCCAGCTGCTCACACTGGAGCCCCAGAGTCACCTGCACCTCCTCCAACTCCGAGCGGGGCACGCACTTCCTCAGCTCCCCCTCCAGCTCTCCCAGGCGCTCCTGGAGACGTCGGACCTGATCTCCATCTCCTGCTGCTCCTCCCTCTTTCCCCAATATCCTGCTCTCTGCCAGGGCTGCCTCCAACTCAGCAACTTTGTCCCGGAGGCCCTTCACTGTTTCCGTCTCTTCTCCTTCGCCGTCTTTCTCCCCTTCCTTCTTTGCAGACTCTCTCTGGGCCTGAGCAGCACGGAGTTCTTCGACTTCCTCTGTCAGCTGTTTGATTGTGTCACTGTCCTGGCTGCTCTGACCGCCTGCCTCGCCCTGTCTCTTAGCTAGCTCCTCCTCTAGCTCCGTCACTCTCGCTCTCAGCTGCTGTGCCTCTTGGCTCGGACCCCCCTCTGCAGCCCCAGCACCTGCTACTGCAGACTCCCCTTCGCCACACTCCACAGAGAGCACCCCAAGGCGCATCTGCTCTTTCAGCTCCTCCAGCTCAGACTGGGAGGAGGCCAACTGCTCCTTTAGACCTCGCAGCTTCTCCTTCAGGGCCTCCATACTCTCTGCATCCGCAACTCCTTCCTGAGACTTCTCATCACCACTGCAGAACAAGACAAAGATTATCAGTCTCTCATGCACTAAATCAAAGACTAAAACATAGTTCATCGTACAAAATAGAACACATTAACACTGTATTATTGAAGTGCACAACTGCAACCTGTAAAACCAAGAATTAATCATGTAATAGAGGTCAAGACAGCACCAAATGAATGCTCCTAAGCCTGCATAGCCTCCAGCGTGTTGAATGAAAACTGTAAATGCTCAGCACTTTTAAAAACAGCCCTGATAGCCGCCCCGAGCAGATACTGCTGAGACTTTAGAACTGACATTAGCTAAGGTGTGCACATCTCAGAATAATCTAATACAGCAGAGTTCAAGTGAATGTGATCTGTGATGGCCTCCTGTGTTTGTATCAGTTAATCGATCTTACCGCTCCTCTGCCACGCTGGAGGCCTCGTCCGAAGCCTGGGCCTGAGAGAGGCGCTCCTGGAGGGCTTCAAACTCCTTCCTCAGGGTCTCATACTGAGCTATGGGGACAAAGTCTGAGCTGGACGTCTGCATGTCTGTGTCGTCCTTCTCAAACATCTCCAGCATCTGTACAAAACACAGAGGAAAATATAGTTGAGTGTTGAGTCATGTCCTGTAAGGCGAGGCAAGGCAGCTTTATTTGTGTAACAGGGTCAAATATACAGCAGTAATATGTGTGACAAGTCGAATGTACATTTGTAATGTTGAGTATCACAATTCCACAAAATTTGGTTCACTTGTTATTACCTGACATGCTTCGGCCTCAGTACACAATATGTTTGATACTCGGTTTTTGCACCCCTTAGTTCACCTCTGGGGGTACCCCACCTATAAAGGGGTGTCTCCCGCCTTGCCTCTCTCCTTTTCCTGTTGTGCTCCGTGGGAGAGGTAAGGCATGTTGCTCTTGTGGTGGTTTCCGTGTTAACCTATATTAATAAATTCATTTTATGCTACTGAATGTTGTGTCATTTGATTTGTGTAGGGGCTGGAGTTTGTGTGGTTGTGTATGACGGAGGATTTTTGTTTTTGCCACCTGTTGTCAGGAATAAATGGAGATCACGGACTGGGCCTCTTTTTATCTACACAATGCAGACATCACTAGAGTCCACCGGTTACACTTGTAAAGCACATTTCATACACAAGGGCAACTCAAAGTGCTTTACAGAGCAATAAAATATAAAACATGATACAGAAAAGAGTAAAGAGAAAAAGATATAAAAGGTCAAATTAATTACTAAATGATTTACAATTTAAAAAAATCACCATTAAAAATAGCAAAAGTGCAATAATAAAAATGATTATCTAAAATAACTTAAAATTTGTTTAAAAATAAGGTTGCAGTCATTACAGGGACGGTCAATAGGCCGGCCCCAGGTGTCCCAAGGGTCCTCGAAGGTTCATATGTCATGAGCATGTCAGAGACATATTTGGGCAAGATTTTGAAAACCAGTGTAAGGATTTTAGACCTGGAGTAATGTGGTAATATTCCCTAGTTTTTGTCCGAATAAGCTGAAGATGCCGAACAGCTTGTTTTGGCCTAAGAACAGACCTTTGCAGTAATCTAATCTCCTGGAAATAAAGGCGTGGGTGAGCCTTTCAAGGTCATGCTTTGACATTATTCCTACTCCTCTAGCAATGTTTTTTTAAATGGTTGTAGACAGATGGAAATGTGGAAATTTAAATCTGAGTCCAGGATAACACCAAGGTTTCTTACATGACTGAGAGGGATTCAAAGTGAGAGCTGACTCTGTGGCCCAAAGACTTCTCTTATCTTCTCTCTGCTGAGCTGAAGAAAATTTTGATGCATCCGATCATTGGTTGCACAGACATTAACATAGAGTGTCCTTAGTGTGGATTAGAAAATAAAAGCTCAAAATCAATGCAGCACAAGCCCAAATATCTTAACTTTTAATCCTATTAAACCTTAAAAAACCCTCAATACTACACCTTGCACAATGGAACTTGTGCAACGTTTCATTAGATCCTTCTTTCCTGAAAAAAAAAACTGGTTTCTGTTGTAAATGTATAATTCATTTATAATTGAAGCCTATGCTGACACAACCCAGGTGACATCACCCTGTGTAATTTGCTCACACTCAAAGCTCCTCCAGAGCCACAGAGAACACTGTACTCTATTTTCACAGGCTAAAAATTACTCTCGATGACCAGTGAGCTGACTTTATGTGTGAAATTGGTGGAGCTGCCCTTTAATTAACTTCAGTCAGTATGAGTTATGGAATCTTAGCCTGTCCTCCACCATTTAAATCACAGCAGGAGGTTTTGGTTCTATCTTTGGTGCTCATATCAGACCTTAGGTTTCCAACTTTCCAGTCTGGCTGTTTTCTCGGCCTAGATCGCTGCTATTCACACAATGGTGAATGAACCACACCAGAACACAATACTTCAAACTACAGTACTTCCACCAGTCTGACCCAGATAGTGAAGTCTATAAAATGGCCCCCATGTCTGCATCTGATGCTGTTCTCTCCTGTTTATACCTGTTAAAACACAACTGTCTCACCGCATTAGTGTACCAGAGTGCAGCATCGTAAAGTTTAAGTGGTCATGACTAATGTTTGAGTCAGGGACATTCAGCCACTCCTGAACCAACATCTTCATCTTCTGTGTGTGTGTGTGCCACTTAATAATCACTTCACTATCAATTTATCCTCTTTAAGGAGGCCTGGGACTTTGTGAGTGTGACAGCGAGAGAAAGAAAAGGAAGTTAATGTTTGTGTGCTTTTATGTGGGACATGCCGGTTGAATGAGGTGATTGATTAGGTGTAAGTGCGTTCCTGTGTTCAGTGTGTATTTGTGTAGTTGTACTCTCCCTGACCTTACCTGCACTTTGAGAGTTAGTTCAGAGTTTTGTGAGGTAAGTTCCTCTATTTGTTTGCGCAGCTCAGCAACAGTTCCTGGGTCTGCAGGGGAAGGAGAGGCGTTGGCTGAGTCTGTGTCTCCTTGAGAAATGGCCTCGTCCTGAGCAGGGGACGCTCTGGAGCGCTTGGAGAGCAGCTTCTCTAGAGGGAAAGTAAGAGAGAAAACACACAAAATATCAACCTGTGTACTTCCTAATGGGATGGACACACATGGGAATGCCCGTGTGGGATACCAGGGAAGTACATGAATGCCCTCTGCCAGGGCCTGGGAAGCAAATGTACACACATACCTGGGAAGTCCAACATTTCATCCATGTCTTCAGAGTCACTGGCCCCCATACCATGGCCTCCCTTCAGCTCCTCAAGCAGCTTGTCTCTTTCTGCTTCTGCCTCCTGTAGACGCTGCTTCAGCTGGGTCAACTACGGTGCACACACAAATACAAACAAGCAACTTTCAGTCCTCATAAATACATTACTTACACACACACACACACACACACACACACACACGCACACGCACACACACAGCTCTAATGATAGGTAGGTTTGCAGGTTGCAGTGCAGTACCTCCTCCAAGGCAGAGATGGCGCTCTGTTGCTGCTGCTCCAAGGCTTTGATCTTCTGGAGCAGACGGCCTCTCTCCAGACGCAGCCGGCGAATCTCCTCAAACACCTCCTCATCCTCTGCCTTACACGGACAAGCACAAGAAATATGAGACCCCAGTGAGGTCTGAATTTCATGTAATAGGAAGAACGAACAGCAACTCAAGATTTACGGAGCTAACCTGGGCTGGTTGCTGTGTTTCTGGAGGCTGGGGAGAGGGAGAAGCAGACGGGGGCTCAGGGGACTGGGCAGGTGGAGCCTGAGTACGGGGCTGTGGAGAGGGTGGCAAACCCGGGATCTTTGTGATGAGAAAACAGTAAAATGAATCTCTGTTAGTCATCAAAGACCTAATTATCCTTTAGTTAATCTTTCGAGAAGCAATGTTGTCCTACTGGGATTCTACCTAAGGGATTATAGTGATATTTAAATATTTATGGACGTTCTTGTATCTTGTTTGCTCTCATATAGTAGTGATAGACGTGAACTGATGGTATAAACAACACCCTAAGGCCTCTGTATGAAGAGTTTTCCACCCATTGAGATGTTTCTCAAGGTACCTGCAAAGGAGAGCGTGGCGGTGGAGGAGCTTTCCGTTTGCGGGGGGTAGTGCCCCCTTGCATTGATGAAGCACCTGAGGGGACTTGGGGGGGCTGTGTGGGGGTGGGAGGGGGATCACAGACAGGCAGTGGTCAAGCTCAACATAAAATGGGCAATTAGAGGAAACTGAGATAAGACAAAGGGTCAGCAACAAAGGGGGACCAAAGCCAACGAAAAGAAAAAGCGGCACACGAAAACAATGACCTCATATTGGAAAACATGCACAATATGATCGACCAAAGTGGGCCATGATCTCATTTGATGGAGGGAGTGATCCAACACTCAGCTATGCAACATTACCTCCTCGCCTGCGCCCTCAGGAGCTACGTATGCAGAGGGGAAAGAGACACACAGCGAGACACTTAAACCTCAATGAGGTTCAGCAAAGAGCTAGGGGCTCATATGTGCACGTACACAAGTATATACAGTCATACTTCCTGTCACATTTCTAACATGCAGTTTATATTAGCACGAACCATGTATCCTGCAGTAAATCCACCAAAATCTCCAATTATAGAATAAAAACTAATGTAGTCAGGCATCATATGCACACCAAATTCTCTTCTTCATCTCCTTTTCAAACCTGCCGCACATCTGTTTTCCATATATCAGCAATGCAATGTCTTTGTTGGGAGATAAAAGTGGAACAAGCCTTTCGTCTCTCTCTTTTTTTTAAAAACCCCACTCTAAAATCACACCCAGCTGTCCTTCTGATCCACTTCCTCCTATTACAGTCGTTTCCTGGGGGAGCAGAGACACAGCCAGGATCCAGAGCAGCTCAGCCAAAGACAGAAGCCGTACACTGTGTCTGATGATCTGTTACATGTTGCTGCCACGTGTTTCATATGACGCTGCCACTTTATATATGAGAAAAACTGCTGTCTGTATTCTACTTGATTTAACAGCACTAACTAGGCTTGATTTATGATAATATGATAACTAAGTGAGTGAACTGACTAAAGAGCCAAGTGAGACGTTTAATCGTCTCTATCTCTCTGAGTGACAGAGAAAATCAAATGTCACAATATTTTGGACCAAATATCTGATATTGTGGCAAACAGCAATATTGTAGGGTTGACCATTGGTGCTTTCACACAATATTTAATCATCAGTGATGTGGAGATAACAACTAAAGCTAGGTTTATGTTTGTAGTAGTTTCCTGAGGGCAAGCTGTGTGCCAGAAAAATACATAATCAAGCCTTTTGCATCGAGTGCAGAGGCTCTGAAAGTTGTCGCTACGCTTGGTCTTGCCCCTCTGAATTATTGTAACTGGGCACCCACTGTGTGCACTGCACTTTTCAGTTCATAAGGGAGGTCAGGCCAAGCAGATTCATCTGTACACACATCTCTATGACTCTGCATTAAGAGACCACAGGGACAGTCAAATGGCCTTAAAATCTTTGGAGGAAACAGTCCACCACAGTGGGGAAAGAAAAAGCTTTTTGCTGCAGGGTGTGGGAGAACATGAGAACACATTGTCCTAATATCAAGGTATTTGGTCCAAAATATTGTGTAACAGCCTCGTGGATAGAGTGGTGGCCCTGGGGGAACAAAGTGATATAAAAGAATTTCAACTTGGAGGTAAGCGTCAGTAATAATTATAGTAGACAACTGCAATGTTTGGCTCACGTCGGCTCTTGCTGCTGTTGCCAGGCAGCCTATTTTTCCAGTAAAATTCTTCTGGTGATGATCACTGACTTCTTGCTTATCCAGAGTGAGCATAAATGCCACTGTTTATGCTCATAGCTTGCGCGCCATCTAAGGAGGCCTAAGTCATGGTGTCTTGTGTTAGTATAAAAAAAGCTGAACTGGGTAAAGGCAAATATTTGAACAGCTCGAACAGTCTGGTAAGTTCTGAAAATCACTTTACTGTAATGCGGCCTTTAAAACCTGGAAAAGACAACACTTATAATATTATGAAATCCAAAATCTAAAAATGCTTCGGGCCTCATACTGTACCTGGAGGAACTCCATCCTGCAATACTTGCATGATGCGTTGGTTGCCCGTGGTTACACTGTAGTCACTGGCTTTATGTCCAAGGGTGTCAACCAGCTGTGTGTTGGCCCCGCCTCTCAGTAGAGCTTCTACGGTCTCAACACTGTCACTCTCACACGCCAGCATCAATGCAGACCTGCGAGTCCAAAGAAAACATCATAGTACAAACTAACAATGCAGTGAAGTCACATACAACAATTTCACTCAGACTCATTGGCTATTTCAAACCTGACGGATCATCAACCTGTCAATCATTAGAAAATGCAGGATGCTTAAACCTACACAACTCTATTTTAATTTTTTCAAGGATTCCAAAGACAGCAATCAGATCGTGACTCAGGATGAACTACAGGATAAGGCCCTCAAATTTTTCCATTTAATGTGATGATGCAGCCTGACAAAATGTCTCTAATCATCCTCTCTAGGGAGTTACCCACAGACAAACTGTAAGCTGTCGGTCACTGCTGGTGGTCTTGACCTGCATCCTTCCAAATCTGACTCATGCTGGAGACTTTCAATGGAAATCCCTCCTGTATCCTGACCAAGACAACCCCACTGCTGTGAGAATAATCCTGCAGTTTTTTGGGTCTGGTTTAGCTAAGTAGTTTTTCATGCCCAAGTCGACCTCCTACTGTCTGACGGTCTCTGCCACTCCATCTATTAAAGCTTGAGCATCAAATACAAAACTCTCAACTCAACTCTCTCTTGCCTCATTAAACCCTAACTGCCCTGTGTATCATCAACAGCCCGTACCTTCCCTGGTTGTCTTGTATGTTTGCATTGGCACCTCGACCCAACAGAAAGACACACAGCTCCACTCTGCTCATCTGAGCCGCTAAGATCAGAGGGGTGGCACCGTCCTGACAGAGAGATACACATGATTATTCAAACACTACTGTTGTTAAAAGGGACAGTTTACTGCAAAACTTACCTGTATTGCTGTATATCAATCTACACTGTTTTGGGATGAGTTGACGAGTATTGGAGATATCGGCCATAGAGATGTCTACCTTCTCTCCAGTGTAATAAAACTAGATGGCACTCAGCTTGTGGTGCTACAAGAGCCAAAAAAATACATTTGAAGAACTCTTCAGCAATGTCTCTTTTCAGAACTCAAAAGCTAACATTACAGCTCAGCAGAGGAGGACCCCATTAATGTTTACACCTTACCAACACAGGGATGTATGGAAAAGGCCTGCTAGAGCTCGCCATGTCCAGTCTCGTAATGCAGTATGAATGCTCCAAAGTCAGATTGGAAATGACACTGACGGAATCCCGTGACCAATGTGTAGCCTAGACAACTCCTACACTCGCTACTGGAAGGAAGTGGACCCCATCTGCAACTATGCAACAGGCAAAGTCAGCCCTTAAACACAGGGACATTGTTGGACATGTGCAACAAGCAAGAGGAGGCCTTGGCCTTGGAGGAAGCAGACCATGCTGGCACAAGGCAACCCCATCTCAATGCCGAGGTCTTATGGTCAACGTGGTGTGCCAACAAGAGCAGGCAATGAGGTGCACAAATGCCGTCTGATGAGTGGATGACATGGGAGGGAGTTGAGAAGAGAAGGTTCTCTTGGAAGGAGTTGTGGAACAGGGAAGCATCTCAAACTAGCTTCACAATACGAGCCACCTACGATGTCCTGCCATCTCCGAGGAACCTTAGCCAATGGTACGGCGAAGACCCTACATGCCCCATCTGCCCCAGCAAACCTGACACATATTCTGGCTAGCTGCAAGACAAGCCTGACCCAAGGTCGTTACACCTTGCGGCACAATCTGGTACTAAACTGTCTAGCAGCTCCCGGGAGACCAGACAGACATCCATCAATGCCCTACCTCCTCCATCATTCCATCCCGAAATTACAAGAGGGTTTGTACGCAAAGGTGCAAAGCAATCCAAGGCCAGTACAGTAAAATCAGACACTGGAGGTTGCTGGCAGATCTGAATCAATGTCTATGCTTCCCATCTGAGATCGACTTTACTACCTTCAGACCAGACCTTTGGTCCCCCTCACTGTGCCTCCTCTACATTATTGAGCTCACTGCCTCCTGGGAGGATGCTGTGGAGGACGCCTACAAACGCTCATTACAATGAAAATAGTTCCTCTATGAAACTGCTCACAAAAAGGTCTTAAGATCATAACGAGTAATGGGATCACGATTTCTGTAAAGAGACACAGATGTTGAGTTTTCCGAGTTTTTTCCCAGCACTTTGAGCACCACAAGCTGAGTACCATGTAGTTCCATTATATTCAAGAAAAGGCAGACATCTGTACGGTTGATATCTCCAACACTCTGCAACTCACAACAAAACAATCTAGACTGATAAATAGCACTACAGGTAAGAGGAATACAAAATTTTTTTTTTTTAATTTCAGGGTGATCTGTTCCTTTAAAGTACTAGTTAAGCACAAGACTAAATAAAACTTAATATAATTTAAATAAACTCTTGAACTTACCCCATCCTGGACATCCAGATTGGCTTTGAAATCCCACAGGGTCTCAGAGCAGGACAAACAGCCACTGACCGCTGCAGGAAATAATCAGAATTATGATCTTTTCTTTACACCTGCTTACCTTTAGCACTTAAAATATGTTGAATGGGGTCTATAACAGGTGTAGAGGCACATTGTAGTTCTGTAACTGTTACCTGCATGATGAAGTGGTGTCCTACCAATGCTGTCTGTGCAATCTACTGCTAATCTTTCCTGTCAGGTAAAAACAGAAATAACAGCTAATGACAAACCACAGTCTTAAAATTCATGTTTGCATTATTCATTTATATTTTATGATATTCATTGGTCAACTTATCATTCTGTGTTTTACCTGCAAAAGTCTCTTTAAACACTCTGATTGGCTGTTTTTTGCTGCGAGGTGAAGGGCGCTGAAACCTGCAATCAGTTAAAAAACAGCCATTTATAAACAATCCATGGCATGTGTGATTCAACAGCCTTGGCTTGCGAGATAAAAAAAACTTTTATTTGATAATAAAACACCCTACCAGCGCCATCAGTGACGTTGAGTTCTGCTCCATGAGAGATGATGACCTCCAGACAGTCTAGCCGGCCTCGGGATGCACAGAGGTGGAACCTGCCAGGAGGACGAAGGACAATATATGTCACCGGTGTTTAGATATGAGAAATGAGAATCTGTTTCCATTTAAAATGTCTGATCGCTGAGATTTGTTCAGCTGCGGCTGCTCATCACTTTAGTTTTAGCTCAAGAGAAAGTAGGCGACAAAAGGTTACCATTTACCAAAACAGGATCAAGAACAAAAAGGATGAAGAATTGGATTAATAAGCAGAATTTGTAGTGGTATTAAGTGGAATTAACACAATCCTTTCAGTGCCCACACTAAACACCCAGTGGCGGGTATTTCCAGGGGAAATTACTCACAAGAAATTATGTGTTTCATGTTTCCAGGAGCAACAGCAGTGGTTATTAAAATAACTACAACACTAATGAGCAGGCTTGAAAGGAATATAAATGCAGCTACTTCTGATAAATGAAACAAACAAAGGTAAAAATTAGGTAACCAACTTACGCTGACTTGCCCTCGGCATCCAGCTTGGTGGGACAGAGGCCTTTTTTGGCGATGAGAGCGGAGACTTTGTCAGGCTCATTTTGCTCCACAGCCTGCAGAAGCCTCTCATCACCCTTACTCCAGTCCTGACTCTGAGGGGGCCAAGCCAGAGAACAGGTCACCACCCTGAACTGTCCCAAAGGAAACTGATACCACACTGCATATCTCATAGCACACAAAACAATACATGACCGGGCAGCCAAAATAAATATAGTGCAATTAAAATGACTTCCATATTGTGCCTGAGATCATTTACAGCATGAGATATCAGTTTTCAAAGTTACAATGCCCTACTTTTAAGGCATAATTGGTACTTAAAAGACTGATATTTCCTTCCCTGTTCCTGTGATTAGTAGATAGAGAGAGAAAATACCTACTGGCAGCGGCAGCAGGCTGAAACAAGGACAGAGCCGCTTCATCAGGCTAAACACAGGCTGCTGAGGATCCATACTGCTAGCAGGGCATCACACACACAAAACTAAATACAGCTGCAGAGTACCAAGCTACCGCTGTGCGTCCTGCCTGACAATACACACTGCCGCCTGGCTACATGACAAACACACAGTTACATAAGACACCGTAGAGAACTCTGCCACCCATAACTTTCTTCATATAGCCTTTAGAGGTCACAGCAGCATCGTGGCACAGATTTACATACCAGAGAATTTATGCTATGCTCACAACTCCCGTGAAATTGAATAGCTCATCACAGAAAAACTCTGACACACACACACATACAGTATCACTGCTGTCCTCACAACAACGTCTCCCTGTGCAATGCTCCCTGTCCGCATCCAAAGCGCTATCCCATCATCATCCTGCCTCGGCTGCTAGCAGTGACATAGCCAGTCTGTCACACTATGCTGACTACCACCTCCTTTCCTTTTCCTCACTGTCCTCCTTTCTCTAACCTAATAATTTCTCTGCAGCCTTCGTCTCTGTAGCAGGCTTCATCCTTCTCTCCATTAGTTTTTTTGTCAGGTCCTGCACGGTACCCCCCTGGCAGCGTCATGCTGTAGATCTGTTTCTCTGCAGTTACAGAGCGGGGCCTGGGTAATGTGAGGACTCAGCAAAAAGGGGAGAAACAAGCTGGATCTCTTCTGCAGGTTTAGATTGGTCATTTGCGAGGCGGAGGGGACATAAACAGGCACAGAAAGAAGCTGGAATCAAGTCTCTTAGGATACAGAAAGGTTTACGTGTGTGGGATATGTGTGTATACATGCATGATCAATCTATCTATCTGACAGTTGGACTATAATAACAATATATAACACACCTTCACTGAGTGCCTATTAAGTGAAACTACTCATGACAGGGAGGTAGAGTACAGACAGTAAGAGCCTGTGAGGGTGTTGAAAGCATAATCAGGACCATAATGCTCAGACTAAATCGTGGAGCAAGGGTTTGCTAGTATATCTGCTTCGACCAGCACCCCTGTGCTCCAAGGGTGCAAGGTCTTTGACCCCAATATGTCTACATGGAGGAGACAACAAAGCAGTATCTTAAAAATACAGTACATTAAGGAGCAAGGTGAAATCCCACATGACAAAGCCCTTCAGAGGAGCATAGGGGTGACAGCAGGGAAGTGGGTATTCTTTGAGCGTGTGTGTGTGTGTGTGTGTGTGTGTGTGCACGTGTGAATAATTGAAGGCTACCTGAGATCTCTGGTTATAGCAGCAGTCTGGAGACAGCTCTGCTCTCCTGCTGCTGCCCAGTGACACTGAATCCCAATGCCCCCCCTTCCCCATACACACACACAACCTGGGATATATATAAATGACTACAACTAATGAAGAGCAGGTGAACACTGTAATATCAGGTTAAAACACAGCTTGAATGGCTTATATCTCTGAATAGCCTGTAGGAGTAGCAAACAGGTGTACTACTTTTAAACACACCCAACTTTAGGGCTCCACATGCCCCACAACAGATGGCTCTTACCTCTGTCTTTTTAAACTTTGCCCTCAGACTCTTCATAGTGGTTTGATCGCCTCTGTGTCAACTGGAACACTGCAAGGAACAAGACAAATAAACTTGAGTGTCACTGTTAATTGCAACTTATTTAATGTGTCTTACTTTGTTTACCCATGATTCAAGCATCAATAGTGGGTCCAGCATCATGGCAACATGTGGGTGCACCAAATAGGAATACATAAGATAACATGAGCCCTAATGCAGTTAACACACATGTATAAAGTGACCTGCAGACACAGCCTACCTGTGGAGGACAGTCCAGCTCCAGGTGAGTCCCTCCTCTGTCCCATCAGCGGCTCACAGCAAAACACTGGAGTCACTGCTGCCTGGCGGACAGCAGGAATGCACCCGCCCCCATCGTAAATCAACCAATCAGCAATGCGCAAAACACCGGATCAACGTTTGATTGGCGACAATGGATCATACAGTCCGTCTGTCGCGTGCAACACAGCACAGCGCAACGTGGAGCGTTTTTAAAGCCTCGCGCTGGAGAGCACAGCTGTAATTTTGTGTTTAACGGGCGGCTGTAAACTGTAAAATAGCACTCCGTCATATATAAGTTGCCATTATGTCATTATGTCGCTACCTCGAGCTCACAATTCAACACGGAGGGGGGTGTGTGGGAAAGTTCAGTATTTGGGACCTTTTTAGCCAATCACTGACACGTTATGGTGGATGTAACCAATGGCAGCGCAGGGGCAGCTGAACCCGGAAGTTCATACTTTTGTACTTTTCTGAACGAGAAAGGTAAGTGACGCATTAAAAATTTTTTAACTGCTGCTCTAACTTAAATGTAACTCAACTATTTTGGGTGCCACTGAGCTTTTATACTTTATTAAATTGATAATTTACTGAGGTGGTAGCATAAATCCCTTTGTTTCTTACTAAATGTTCATAAATTGCCCACTTCTTAGTCGTGACCGAATAGTAGCTAATTAGTCTAGCTATTTCTTTTATTAACACAAACTTTAAAATTATATGAGCCTTTCTCTACTGGTTATTGTTGAAGGATACATGCAATACACACAAGCCACCAAATGAGGGCAGTAAATGCAAGGCAGAGGAAACTATGGAAATCAATTAATTATACAGCAGCGTTACAAGCTCAGTTTTCCAGCCCCAAAATCAACCCAAAACGCATCACCATATCAAAATAATTCATAGCTTTGAAAGGGAGCTTTTGTTGATGTGTGTCAGGTTGTACATGAAAGAACAGGCACGGATGTACCCCTACAAAATGTTTGTTTACCTCTCACATTGATGAATGATGCTGCTCAGCTGGGAAAGAGCAACAGTTTGGAGAAAATGTCACATCCATATTTAGCCCTTTATAATGAGGGAGTCTTATTAATTCACTGAAATACTCCACAACGCCTTGTTGTTTCTGTTTGATTCATTTTAATCTTTGGCTCCTGTGCAACAGTGTTTATTTTGTGTAAAAAAAAAAAAAATCCACAATGACTTTATACCTGTCTGTCTGCCTGTTTGTGATTATCTCTCACTGCAAGACATCCTGATTTTCCATTTCTGCTCTCCTCTCCCCCTGTGCTCTCCACGTGTCTTCCTCTTGCTGAGTCTGACAGCTCGTCTGTCTCTGATTTTCCATCTCTTGCTCAGTTTCAATCTTTTCTTCCGCACTGTTCTGGCTCTCACCACAGCCGGGATGGAAACAAAAATTAAATGTATGCTCAATATGTTGCTGGGTTGTAGGGGGGTTAGAGGAGGTGTTAGGACTGAGCGGTTTGTGCAGATGAAAAAGGGGAATGTATTGCTGAGGGGAGGTGGGAGAGAAGGAAGATTATTGGTGCATTCAGGAGATAAAAATGCTAAGGTAGGGAAGAAAGGCATGGAAAGGGCAGGGGAGATGAAGATGGGGCGAACGGAAAGATATGGGAAAACCACTGAGTCCCTGAGGAACCAAAAGATGACATTTCTTTACTATTCCACATGTGCCCAAAGACTGTATTTAGTATAACAAGGAAATATTCCACAACGTTTTGGTCTGATTGATTTAAAGTATTGAAATGTGGTATAGATGTATTTTTGGCAAGTATCTAACAGGACAATTTTGAAATGTTTAAGGTAAATTACACTTTTATCAATAGTCAACGTATGGATGTTTGAAAAATTAGGAAAAAAGCTAGCATTGAGTTTATTAAATGTCTTATATGCTTTGTTTTTACACTGCATTGTATGTGCTTTTTACTTTTACTTTTTATGACATACCAAATACTTGGTTGTGCCCCTTCTAGTTTCTGAGAGAGAGCCATTTTCTTATCCTACTTTATTAAGTCTTTGAGCACATGGTACTAATGTTTTTTTCCCCAAAATATAATGAAATAATTATAGAAAACAGTAGTCCCATGTGCCCAAAGACCAAATAGAGTATGATCAGAAAACCCCCCTTTTTTTAGCCAAATGGTTCGACCGATTTTGAGCATTTCGTCAAAGTATGTCCTTAAGCAAGTCAGAGAACACTTCCACAAAAGGAAATTAAAAACCCAGTGATGCGGGCACTGCGCCGGACCATCGTGGTGAAGAGGGAGCTGAGCTGGAGATCAAAGCTTTAGATTTCCTGGTCCAGCTACGTCCTAACCCTCACCTATGGTCATGAGCTCTGGGTAGTGCCCAAAAGAATGAGATCGCGGATACAAGCGGCCAAAATGAGTTTCCTCTGTAGGATGTCTGGGCTCAGCCTTAGAGATAGGGTAAGGAGCTCTGACATCCGGAGGGAGCTCAGAGTAGAACTTCTGCTCCTTCTTGTTGAAAGGGGTCAGCTGAGGTGGTTTGGGCATGTGATCAGGATGCCTCCTGGGCGCCTCCTGTTAGAGGTGTTCCAGGCACGTCCCACTGGGAGGAGGCCCTGGGGCAGACCCAGAACATGCTGGAGGGATTACACATCTCAGCTGGCCTGGGAACGCCTTGGGGTCCCCCAGGAGGAGCTGGAAAGCGTTACTAGGGAGAGAAATGTCTGGGATGCTATGCTTGACCTGCTGCCCCTGTGACCCGGCCCGGATAAGTGGATAAAAGTGGATGAATGAATGGAGTTGCGGGCACTAATGAGTTTTAAGATCTGAGGAGATTTCCCTGAAAGATATTAACCTGTGGGATGGAGTTATTATCTTACGAGATCTTGTATCAAGATTGTGTGTTGTGCCAACAAGATCTGTATCAACTTATCAAATGAACATTCCTTGAAGAGATAAGACCTGTAGCACAACATATTGATCTTGTTCCCACATGTTAATGGCTGGTTCTCACAAGTGAAGAGGCTTGTTCTTGCACAAAAGGGTTATTCCCACAATTTAGTTCTGTTATTGTTTAGAAACCACATTTTTATTGCAGCAAGAGGGAGACATTAACTAGGTAGAGGAGTCCAGAGGTTTCCTACCCTGAAGAACTTTCCACAGAAACTCATTTTACAGGCCTTTGTGTGGATGATGCCAGGAAATCGATCCATGTTCAAGTTTATAGCTTCACCGCTAAACGATTTAAACTAGACTACAGGGACCTGCAAGATGCTTGCAAGCACACACCCTGAGTGATTTCAGTTTCCTCTCAGATTCAGGACTTGTTTTTGATCCTCATGACCCCTCCTTTAGGTCTGAAGCCGGTGCTTGGTGAACACTAGGGGAGGCGGACTATAGGCAGGAGGAGGAAGATGTGAAGGTCTTGATGGGATCCTGTTGATGGTTGTGGTGATAGCGGTGGGGGTTGGATTCTAGCTCAGTGACCTCATCCAGTCTCCCTGCCCCTGGGAGAAAGTGAGCTCATGAGTGTCGTAAAGAAAGAAGCATTTACGGTCTTTTAACAGACTTAGATGGCCTTACCCACTGTAGCACACAATCCAATTTACCAGCTTGGACGTGGGATAATGGGACATCTGTGAGAGGATGGAACACACTCAGAGAAGATGAAACAAAGGGAGTGAACACACTCAACACAATGCCTGATTTTCCAATCAGAGGGGACAGGCTTCAGCGCTTGTGTCATCTTGGTTTTATGATATGTTTGTGTCCACACTTGTGTCTGAACTTACTTCACTACAATTCTGTTCATGTTGCCCAAAGGATGATGGGATTACTTTACTCCACCAAACCATTTTATGAGGAAGCAGGTAACAGTTTTGTTCACCCTTTTGGTTTTTTGTAGTTGTTTTATGGGAAAAGTGCATTAAATCATTTGAGAAACCTTTAGTGAAGCTAAAACAGGAAAAGTCTCCAGTGATGTAATGCGAATAAATAATGCACATGTTTGGATCACATCCATGCGAGCTCTTTTTTCCCTCCCCAGTTTCTGTTTTTTAGTTGTTTCCCCCAAAGCAGTGTTTTTGAAAGCGGATGTATCTCTTGTTGCAGACGGTCTGATGTGCAGATATTTCAATGAATGAACGGTTGGCTGACTGCGAAAGGGAATAGGAGGATATTCCTTTGGGAATGAAGCGCCTCCCCTTTAATCGCTCGGTTGAGTTTCTCTCGCAGCTCCAGTCGCTCTCTCTTCACTCGCACATTTGCCGTCAGTCGTCAGAGGAACTCAGACTCAGCGCGCTTGTTTTTGTTCCAGAAAACCGCAGTTTTGCTTTTCTCTTGTCCCTTTTGTGAAATAAAAAGCGGCAGCAGCGGAAGGTTTTGTCACTTCTTTGTGCCGTTTTGTTGTGATCGACATGAAGAAACGCGGAATTAAGCGTCCAAAGTGGCTGAAGGACTGAAGAGGGTTGGTAAGTGAGTGCGCCTTCGTTGCGCAGCGCTCGCTGGGATTTAAATCCACTGTTTTGGTGACTGATTTAAGTGGGAGTTTAAGAGATTATTATTTGTACTTCTATGACATATTCAGCTTCAGTTTACAGCTTTCCAAATATGTGCCAAACTAAACACGTTGTATTTAAATGATGGTTAAATTACAAAAGGAAATATGTTAAAATTTAAAACCATTTTGATTTATTTAATTCCACATTGCTTTGATATTCTCTATCAGCCTTTGTCTTCCCTTCTTTTATCAGCATGTTAACGTCGGACTTTATTGCAGGGGTGTGAAATGTAATTGCAGCCTTTGGGCAAAGTCCAGATGCCAGACGTTATTGCTCCCTGCATAAAACAAAAGGGGTGCGTAAAGCCCAGCTGTTGGTGTAGTTTAGTGTCACAAGTGCATGTAAACGTATACTGATTGTGGGTCTGTGATCACGAGAAAGTTGTCCAGCACAAATATTATGAGAGGATCAGGACCTGTGGATTAGAATTGTTTTGGGATCTTATTGTTTTTAATATTGCAGTTGTCCACAGCACAAATCTATTCAGCTCTCACAATCTCATCAGAAATAAGGTCAAGCAATAACTCCCATGTCCCTGTCTGCTCCCTGCAGCCTCCTGCTCTCACTCCACCACACACCAGCACGCTTGGACGCAGAGCTGCGATGGCCAAGTGGCTGAAAGACTACCTGAGCTTTGGCAGCAGGAAGGTGCCCCCGCAGCCGCCCACGCCAGACTACACAGAGAGCGAGATCCTCAAAGCCTACCGGCTCCAGAGGGACCTGGACTTTGAGGATCCCTATGAGGACTCTGAAAACAGATCCAGGGGCGAGTCTCAGACTTCTGACCCCGCCACACCTGTGTATGGGTCTCCCATGAAGTCATCCACTGTGGACCTGAAATCTCCCAAACACAGGCTGATCAAAGTGGACTCCCAGGAGCTGGGGCGCACCAAGATCCTGCTCAGTGCCATCTCTTTGGAGGATCAGCAAGAACCTGTAAGAGCCTCAGTTTCTTAGCATGTGTTTGTAGGAGCTCAGGGCAAGACACAGGTGATGACAAATTAAATTTCTTATGCGGAGGATGAAGGATAAAAAACCACTCTCCCACTTCTCTCTCATCCCATTTCCATCACTGTGACAGCTTTATTGATCAGACTCCATAAACGAGTGACTGGTAATGTGTGTCTCAGATATGCATTGTTTACATAAATCACATTACATCCCATGCACCACATAAATTCACTACTGTAGATGGAGGAAAGAATTATTGATGGCTTGAGCGGACCATTGAGTCTGAGAGGGTCACAGTCCCGTGAGTTTATGTCCTTCCATAAATAATAAATGAGGTTTAGTTTTGCAAGCTGAGAGAGACCCCCGCATGAGCACATGTTAGGGGCCATATACAGTACGCCGTATGGTGATATGCCAAGAGCCACAGGGAGGTATAATTTATACTCCGGTGCTGTTTGTGTCATCAGAACTGCAGTGCTCTCCCGGCGATGTACTGTGCATGTTGTGCTGTAGAGAACATACACAGCGACTGCACAGAAAAAAGGCAAACAGATGTTGAGAGAGCCACTGGAGCGGAAGCAAAGGTTTAACAAGAAAATGGTCTTCACATTAATTCAGCTCACATATGCTGAGTAGGTTAGGGAGTATTTCGGGGTTTTCAATGTTGCAGTTAAATCCATGACTCCACTCATGGAAAATGCTACAAGTGCGCAAAGTCCTGAAGTGGATTGAAGTAATAGTCTTAACTGAAGTCGATAGCTCCCCCCTCTCTACCCCACTCTCCTCCTGCTCTCATTAATTTCCCAGGGTCTGTGGGAAACATCCGCACTCTAATTAACATTGCAGATTCCTGTGCATCGATAGATAACCTGTTACAGAATCAACATGGGATTAGAATGTAATTTTGTGGGGGCGCGTGCATGTCTAGCAGGAATTTGGGAAGTGAGCCTTGTCCCAGTGACTTCCTTTGTCCTGGAGATGGGGAGAGAGCTCTTTGCCAAAATGTGTATGTGTTTGCAGGTATGTGCTCATGTATGTGTGTGTTTGTGACCATATGGCTGCCTTTGAATCTGTCACTGTGCCAGCTGACTGGTGTTTTCCTCCTGCGCTTGCTTGAAGGAACAAATGCTCCTGACCAACCAAGCAGGACCTTCTTTACTCTCTGCGTTCTCTTTCCACTGCCAAAAAATACATCATCCTCAGACAGGACAATTTCTGGCTGTATATAGCTTAAATGTAGCAACAAACATACCATACAGTCCTTTCTTCAAAGGTTTTAAGAGGGAACTACATATGTATAGCTGCTCCATATGCACAGCATTGGTTTGGTTTGGTTTTGTGATGTTGCACACTAAAGATGCAAATTAGCGTCTTGATGACACTCCAAAAGCGTTTTTGTCTGTAACCAAACATATAGTTAACGTGCCATTCAGTGAGGGTGTGATTGCTTGTTAAGAGTGTTGCGCTGCTCTTTCCATCTCGGGTCTTGATGAGCTATTGTCTGTGCAACACTCCTTCCTTTCTGGCGTTTAGACATGCATTACACACTGAATTCTCCTGGTTATCAGAAAATATTCATATCCCAGACGCCTTAATTCAAGTGTTTCAGTCAAAAGTGTGATTGATGTGCAGCTTTCACAAAATGCTGATAGGAAACGGTGCCTGAAAGTCAAACTCATTACAGCCTATGATTGGAATCTTGTGCTGCAAGATGGAAATGTTTAGAAATTGGTTTGTATTCATTATATAACATCAAGTAAAAAAAAACATGCTGCTACTTTGCTCTGCATCGAGGTCAAGTTAATGTTCTGTAACAAAACCCATTTCTCTTCATCACTGTGTATTTTGTCCTTTAGGTGGTTCCATCTGCTCCATTGGCAGGTGACACAGATTATTCTGACCCATTCGATGCTCGCTTGGACCACAGGACAGAACCAGATCTCAGACCTGTTCCCTGCGAGAACAACGGCTACATGGAACCGTATGAGGCCCAAAGGGTCATAACAGGTTGGTGGACTTTTTGTCTTATAGTTTTCTCTGATAGTTATCTCCACATATGGTAAAGCCTTTACATCTGTGTAAGTGCAAATCCTAAAGGATTAAAGGTCCAGTGTGTAGGTTTGAGGGGGATATTTGGGCAGAAATGGAACATAAAAAGTATGTTTTATTTAGTATATAATCACCAGAAAATAAGATCATTGTGTGTCGTTACCTCAGAATGAGCGGTTTATATCCACATAGGGAGCGGGTCCACGGTGTCTGCCATGTTGCAGCGCCATGTTTCTGCAGCAGCCCAGAACAAACAAACCAAACACTGGCTCCAGATTGGGCCATTTGCATTTCTGCCTCAGCCACCATAGCTCACAGCCCCTCTGTGATGAGTCAAATAGAATCTGAAAGACATTTTTAACGTTTTAAATCCCCTGATCCATTTGTTTTGGAGAGGAAGAGACCTCTGAGGATAATTTTGGCTCCCAGTAAAAACCTCCTGATTGACTTGATCAGAAAAAAGGTGACCACACATTAGCAGATTCTCTGTGATGAGCCAAATGACATTGTAGGAACACTGATTTGTAATGTGAAACTGCTTTGTTCAATGTTTTTACCAGTTTAAGTACCTACTGTACATAGGGAGTGGGTCTTTGTCCACAGAGATTGCCATATTTCTACAGTAGCCCAGGGTGGGCAATCCAAACACTGACTCTAGATAGGGCCATTTGTGTTTTCGCATATTGTGGTGACGGTAGTTAGCAGCCCCTTGGAAAAACACTGATTTTTTTCAGGTGAAACCGCTTTATTCAGTGGTCTTACCTGTTTAAATCACAGGATCCATTTGTTTTGGAGATGAAGACACCTCTGCCGATAATTTGGCTCCCGTTAAAAACCTCCTGGATCTTAAGTTATCAGAGAAAAAGAGGTGAGCACATATGAATAGGTGCTGGGCTAGCGGCCTGTCTCCAACATGCCAATCAACGTAGGAGAAACACTGATTTATAACATGAAACTGCCATATCCAACCGTTTTAAATCATGGTTTGTTTTGGAGACCTCTGCGGATAATTAAGCTCCTGGTAAAAACCTCCTGAACAACGAACACTAAAGGAATTCTAACCGGGAGAAGTTTCAGCTGGTTGCAATCTGCGATCCTCACCATTAGATGCCACTAAATCCCCCTAAATCTTACACACTGTTCCTTTAAATTCAGACCTCTTACCTGACATAAAAGCTCGTGTCGGTTGCGTTTCAGGTGCACCAAATCATGAATAAAATATGTAACTGATATAACTGTGGCATGACATAATAGCATCATCGAGCCAAAATCTATCAGCAATTCCTTTGATGACTAACGCTGGTCACTCCTTTGGTCTGAAAACATTAACATTAGTGTCAGTTTAATGACCTCATTTGTTGGAGTTCTACGCCAGAGTGTTGAACCTGTCCGCTCCAATGTGTCTTCAGTTCATCACAGGCTGAGTCAACCTCACGAAATATCCCTTTAGAGATGTCTATCCAGTCTCCAGTCTCAGAGCCTCCCGCCTCCCTCGTGGATTTCTCCCACATCATCGAGCTCACATCTATCGTTTTCCATTTGTCTCTCCTCCTATAACATCTCTGTCTGCCCCTTTCCCCCGCACTCTCCCTGCTCTGTCCCAGTCATTTAGTGTAAAAGCCTCCCCCCTCCTCGTCCTCCATCTCTCTATCTCTCCTCATCTCGAGGGCTCTCCCTGGCCCTGAGGGGAGTCTGGCTGTCTCTCTAATCGGTCCTGTAGTGAATTTTATGTCCTGTCCTCTCTCCGTTGTCACTTTCGCTGCCTTTTTAGTGGTCAAATGAAGTTTGAAATATCAGGCTTGAAGTGAATGGAGCATCACTCCCTCTGCTCAATTGAGAAACCTTGGAGAAAATCCTTTCTCGCTGCAGCTGGAGAGATTAGATTCTGAACGGTGATGGCAGAGCATTTGACAAAGCATTGTCACAGCTCTTTCAATGACTTTGAATTGAGCCTGTCACTCTAGGGCTGTCTGTCTGTCTGCCTTTGTCTGTCTGTCTCTCACTCTGCTGTTGCTCATTAAAAAACACAACAGAGCGGCAAAGACAGATGTGGAATCTGAATAGCAATTATCTCTCACAAAGACTGTCCTGAAAAGACACCTGTGTGCTTTTTCGACTGTACTTTTAGAGAGAAAGCATCTTCAGTGCTTATAGTTTAGTTCATGAGGATAAGAAAGGTTTACAGCTCCAGTGCATCTGTATGCTTTAACACTTCCCATCGCCAGTCCTCTCAATCTTCAATCTATGTCACCTTTCTGTCAAATCGCTACCCCCCCCCCCCCCCAATCTCTGTTTTCCTCCATCATGTTCCCTATGAATTTCTTATTTTATTTCCTCCATGCCTGTTTTTATCTCTCCGCCTTCATCTTCTCCGTCTCTAGGCTGTCGCTGACACCACGGGTTCCCAGTGCAGGTAGAGCAGCATTCAGCCCCGCTGTGCTTCTGTCTCAATGACTTAACATCAAACACTGACAGACCTTCCTCCCCCCAGCCTCCCTCCCTTGTCCTTCTCTCCCATCACCCGCTCTCCTCCCCTTGTTTCCTTGCTGCTTCCTTTTCCTCTTCCTTCTCCTCCTGCCTCGCCTCGCTCCTCCTCTCTCACCATTTCCCCTCCACCCTCTTCTTCATAACCTCAGGGCCTTTCCCCAGGGCCTCCACTTGGTCGCCATGGTGACTACAAGGCCGCCCAATAGCGGTGTCTTGTCGTGTGAAGGTTAAAGTTTTTCTCTGCCTTTCACCAGGGAACCCTTCCATTTAGTCCTGTTCCCTTCTCACGTGAGTGCACCTCCTTTGCTGCTGGCTGTGTGCACAAAAGATGCCGACTCCTTCATTTTCCCCCATTTTTCCTCTCCTGTGCCACCTGTTTTTATAAAGGGTACATTTTTGAGGTCAACATATCAAAGCGCCATTGCTGATTGCTGCTGCTGCGGCTTAGAGGCTCCTATTGATGCATTTAGAAATCAGATTTCATCCTCTTGCTTGCGTCAATAATCTTAAAGCCTTTTATCTCATGGCCATATTTGGCTCCACACAACAGTCGCAAATGCTGAGAAACACTTCTTGGTTGGAACCCACTGAGAAAGTGATGAAAATGTTAACGAGGGACAGTGGATGCTGTTGTGAGCCGTGCTAGATCGCTGCTGGGATTCAGGATGGACGAGAGAAGGCGGGGTGGGTTTGTCTACCATGTTGCAACTCAGCATCTAGCCCAAGGCCTTGTTAAGCCCCCCTATATGAGATTCTGAGCCCACGGCAAGCTGTGCAAACATCATTTGTCTCTCTCCTCTAATTCTAGTCATGTCAGAGCTCAACAGGCTTTTTTGTTTTACTTTGTACTACAGGATAATATCACTGTTGTGTTCGTGTGAACTTCATCACTACTGGCAAATATTATTTCTCGGCATTGCCTGTTTTTCTTGCTGACTGTTTAAACATTCAAGATTTTTTTAAATCCTTTTTTACGTGCTTCTGTGTGTCAGGGCATGAATCAGTGGTATTTTGCATATGCATCAACAGAGCTGCAGCGAGGTCCAGGAGGAGGACGGTCGCGGGGGGGTGTACAGCTCTATGACACCCCTTATGAAGACGAGCGAGGCCAGCGCCTGGGTCTGTTGTATGGAGAACCCCAGGAGGAGGGCAAGGAAAGCAGCAGGCTGCCGCAAGATGATGAGAGACCGGCTGATGAGTATGACCAACCCTGGGAATGGAAAAAGGATCATATCTCCAAAGCTTTTGCAGGTAACCAAAAATATTCTGACAATATTCTGACAGTAAAATAAACAGGAATAAGGGTGACGCATAATCTGACAAAGCCCATCTACAAATTTTGTTGGCTGTTTAACAAATAATTGATTCGCTCTCCTTCAAGTAACAGTTCCTACATCTGCAAAATTATGCAGAAAATTAATTTATGAGTACATTTCAGACAAGGTTTAGACAATGGAGCTGCTGAATCATGCTTCACTGTATATTTAAATCGATATTCAGAGCTTCCCAGAATAAAAGCTTTTAGCAAAAACTTGAGGTAGTTTGATTTAGGATGGCTAAGCATTGTGCGGGAGAAGCATTTTTAACTGAACACTACATTTAATGCCTCCATACTGGCAATCAGCCATTGTATTTAAGTGTCTATGAGGGAGACAATGAATTCTACCTACTCTATGGATAACTATACAACTCCTGGAGCTTCTGGCTGTCAAGCATAAACCATAAGGTATCTCACAAATGTCTTTTTTTAAGGCAATCGTTCAGTAGAATTAGTGAAAATGGCTCAAACGGAGTAGTTTTAAAGGTCAAAGCCCTCCCAGGAGCACACAGTGAGCCCTGCTGCGATTACTACGTAGTGCAATACTCATCTAACTGTCCTGACCTTTAGTGTAGTGCCCCCCCCCCCCCCATCACTACATCTCCAAAGCCTTTGGAGGAAATGGAGAGTGCTGTGACCTTCACTGTCTCAGCTCAAATGACACATATCGTTCTGTTTCTTTTACCGCATTTAAACACATTCTGGCGACTATTGATTTCTCGTGCTCACAACAACCTCTGAGATGATCATTAGACTTGACAGAGATGTCTTTTTTCGGTGTGTACATGCACGAGAGAGATGGTGTAAACGTCATGAAGAGAAGGTTAGCAGAGGAACGAACAGAGAGCAAGGTTCATTTTCGTTCATAACATCTGCAGTATTTCTAAAATAATTGGCACATTTTTTTTAAGTTCCTCTGACAGTGCATGCCACAGCCCATCCCATTATGTTCCATCTATTGGATATAATTGGAGGGAGAGAGTGAGGAAGAAGAAGTAAGAGAGACAGAGGGACGGAGAGAAACAGAACTAGACTGATAGGTCATTTAGGACTGGATCACTGTAAGGCACGCAAGGCCAAGTTGGCTTAATTGAGCTGCATCTTCGAGTCATCAAGGTCAAGGTGATGGGATAATAAATCAACCTTGCCTCATATGCACTCCCCTCCATTCCCACTCTCCTCCCCTCTGCCCGTCTTATGTGCACCCCTCCCTCTCTTCTCAGTTAATTACATGCCTGCGTGTGCATGACCGATCCAGTGCTAATAAGAGAGTCATGGTCAGCACACCATTGTCTGAACACACACACATACACACACAGAGACATTCACACCGTGTTCAGGCTCAAATCACATTAACTAGAGGAGCAGCAGAGACACCGTAACTTATTTGAGAGCGGAGGTGATTTAAAAAGGAGATGTATGCCGGTTAATTTAAAAGCCGATATCACCTCTCATCTACTTAGCACTCATTCCTGCTTTATCTGTCGTTTTCTCCCTCTCCAGCCTTTCCTCTTTCTGCCACATACAGTACGCGCTCCTGCAGAGCAGCGCTTACAGCACCATTAGAGAGCGCAGTGGAGGAAAACGCTTGTGCGGCTCGAGTTGTCTGACCCCTTGTTTTTTCCATTTGGAGTCAGCACTCCGAGCTGGCGTGCTGTCTGTCTGAGCAGACCAAAGCACTGAAGTGTAAACACACAAACAGTATTTTCCATTCTCACATTTAATCCATATTCCCAGGCCCACTCAGCGTTGCTAGGCACGGCCCACATGTGAGGGAGGGAAGAGACGGGGAGGACGAGGATGGAGCAGAAAAAAACGAGAGATGGAAAAGATGGAAAAAGAGGGGGAAAAGAGATGAGGAGGAGGTGTGAGAGGGAGAGAGATGGACAGAGAGAGAAAATAGATAGAGAGGCTTTGGAGGAAGCTAGCTGGAGAGAAATGGAAAGGGACGTCCAAGGTTATGGTATGTTTGGTGGCAGCTCAATGGATGTTTGTGGAGGCCCACTGCTTCAGAGGGGAGGGGCGTCGAGGAGAATTAATGGTCGGGGGCTGTGGCGAGGTGAGACTGAAGGAGAGGAGGGGGAGTCAGGGCCATTGTGGCAGGGTGCAATCCGTCATCCGCTAACACAGGCACACTCTCTCACGTATACACACACCAATGCAGCAGTGACAGGGCTGTCCCCACGGCCCTCCCTCCCTGTGGATGTGACACACTCACTCAGATAACCCGCTACAGGGGGCAAAGGGGGGCATCGCAATCTGCCAGTAGCCTCTCATCATCACCTTCACACAGGCGCATGCACACACATGTGGATTCTCAGCTAGGTTTTCCAGCTCTGATTATCAGGCCCCTAATTCAAGGGTGAGAAGAGGTTGTGTGCATGTTGGCAAAAATTAGCGTGTGGGTGAGTGTGGGGCGAGGGAGTGGGGAGGATCGCTGGTGCATATTGTATGTGGATTTGCGTACATTGCATTCATGCAAGCGCTTCTGAACAGAATCTCTCTAATTATGATTTCCACAGCTTATCCATGCTTAAATGTAATCGCCTGGATGAATTTTGAATTTTGCATTCTGCGGCTATTTTTCACATAGTATCAAAAAATAAGCTTGCCTCCGAAGCATTTTCCTCTATTTTCCATTGGATATCCACTTCAGCTCAGCTGTGTGAGGGTGAATGTGCCCGAGGGCTCGGACGTGACAGGCCTCTCTCAGTTTGGTGGGTTTTAATTGCGGCGTTAGAAAGCTGTCACCAGTCACCGGCATCCAGCTCAAATTACTGCAGTCATTAATTCCTGGAAGTCAATGGACAGTCCAGCAGTGAGAGATGGGCCCTGCAACCATTCAGCCCCAATTAGTGAGCTAATGAAAGGCACAATCTCATTATCTCTCTGATGGCTACACCTAATGAACAGACGAATGGGTGTTTGAGGTATTTCATGTTTGTAAGTTTTATGGTGCAGTACGGGAGCTTTGAGCCATTTGATGCGGACGATGGTCGTCTGAGGATGTGTGATGAGAGAGCTGCAAATCAGCTGGAGATCTGGATGGGGAAGGTGAATGAATAACATTTCCACCCCTGGAAATTACTATTATCGTGCCATTGAGAAAAGCACTTATCCTCCACTTGTTCCAGTGCAGCTGCTCATTAGGCAACAGCAGAAGACAGGGGCTTTGCAAGGGAGCTCCTGAGTATGAATGTGTGCATCATAAAAGCAAGAGGATGGTGGAGAAGGGTTTTTTATCAGTTCAGATAAACTGTTTGCAGCATAAAAAGACTTTCAAGTGGGTATTTTGTCATCCTACCGTTTATGTGGCAATTTGTTTGATATATATTGAAACTGCTTTATTCCAAACAAAAGGCTGTTTAGGAAACTGCCCATATAGCTTGAGTCATTGTTTTAAGCTGTGTCAGCAGCATAGCAGTATTGGTTGGTGGGTCAGTCCCCTACTTTGGTCCAGACTGAAACATCTCAACAACTACTGGATAGATTGCCAGACAGACATCCACAGTGCCCAGACGATGAATCAAACTGACTTTAGTGATCCCCTGACTTTTCATGCAGCACCACCATGAGGTTAGCATTTGTGGTTTTGAGTCAAATGTCCTGTAAACTATTTGATGGTCATGAAATCAGAAACAGACATTCATGTTCCCCTCAGGCTTTATTGTGGAGACTCTGGTGTTCGTGTTCAGTCATTAGTTCAAACTTTTAATCTGTCCAATACTTGAGTTTGTGACCAGATGTTTGCAAAACTAATGACATATCCATCAGCTTCAGTTGTACTTTATATTTATGGCTAATTGTCAAATGTGCTGAGCATGGGCAATGTCTCATAAATCTGCTGAATATGTTAGTATTGTCGTTGTGAGTTGTTACATGTTGATGTCAGGAAGGGATACTCTGCAGATTTTCAACCAGCTTTGCATCATATAGTCAACTGTGCATCTTGCCAGCACTCAGATCTCCCTGCTCATTTTGGGCTGTTGCTCGAAATACAGATTGTGCTTCCTTATTTTTGTATGCCCATCACCACTGTGGACACAAAGAGGATAGAATAGAAGTCTCAAACTCAGACAAAACTTAGATCAAACTGTAACACTAGGCAGTGCTAATCACATATAGCCAATGTTCTGTTACTGTATTGCCTTCTTCTCACCTAAAATGTTTTTAGAAACATGTTTTAGTTAACTTTTTAATTGTAATATAAGATAATTTGTTACCAGCCGGCTGCCATATTGTTTTCAGATGGGCAACTTGCATTGCGTCACCCACCAGTGGGAGTGTTTATTGGCCCGGTGCGGCGCAGTGTAGGTTTTCTTCCTCTTGAGCAAAAGCCACAGCCCTTGCTGTTTTCTCTGGTCATGCAGCACCAATTTCAAAAGTATTAGCATCTTTCTATTGCACAGACAGCCTATTATGAAAAGACCACATTTCCAGCAGTGAAATACTTCCTTAAGCTCAAAGCCCTGCTGTGCCTTTGTAGCCTCACAGAGCCGCTGTGACTGTAGACTCGTCTTTTTTAGAAATCAGCAATTGAGAAGCAAAACAGCGGAACATAACATTGTACACATTATTATTGTGAGAGATACATTTTGAAGACATTAAAAAGAGATTTTGAAAGTTGTCCCGAGCATTTGGTCATGCTTTATCTATCCTTGTGTAAATAGCACCGTTGGCTGGATGCTGAAGGGCTCTTTAAAGTGTTAATGCACACCGAGGCAAAAGCTTGGTTTAGCAAAGCTTGCAAAGACACCTTGACAGATGGTGGGCGTTTGTATCTATGGTGTCTGGTTGTCTAGATACATGTGCTCCGGCTCTGACAGGACAGGACGAGGTTTCTGGGGCTGTTCTGCGTGTGCAAGACTGGAGATGTATTTGTGTCTGTGAATCCAGACAAACAAGAGCAGGGAAAAAAGGAAACAAAGAAAAT